TCAGAATTTCACCTTTACCTGTTCAGAGAAAAGGGATCTTCATGCATATTCCTGTGTTGTGGCCATGAAGGATAACAGGGGTAGAAGCCAAAGCCCCCTCATCTGCTCTTACCCCAGTAAAATCACACACGTTAGTGCAGGACAGATAATGGGAGACCTCACAGAGCTGCTCAAGAAAAGAAGATTACAGAGTCTGAAATAAGAGCTTTTACAAAACAGAAAAGGTAAAATTAATAGAATTAGAATGAACTGAATAGGTAAATAGGCAATCCAGATATCTACTCAAACAAAGCAGGAGAAGAGAGTAAAAGCTTTCACCAAGATTCTGCACATTACATTGATAATGTTGTGCTAGGGTGGAGCACAGAGATGCCGATAATAAGGAGTTTGCCTACATTTTCCACTTAGTATTCCTCTCTATTTTCCCCTGCTTCATGTGTCTGTTCCTCAAAAGATAGGTGACACCAATTTAGATTAGCTTGAAATTATTCCTGCTATTTCCACTCTACAAGTCACTTATTTAACTTAAAATGCAGAACCATCTCAGGTTCCAGAACCTAAATGACCATATAGTGTAAGAAGTAAGGCATTTGCAGTTCAGAGGATGGGCTATGATTTCAAAACTGTTTAGTGATAGGGAAGAGTTCGTAAATATTCCTGTCCTAGCCAGTTATTTTAACTGAACTTAGTATGGCAATCTCTTTTTTATAAAGATAAACTTTATTTCTTCAAACCCCCTGATGAAGGATTGTGTTTTTGTAAGTGAGGTAGGTCGATTACATTTTGCAAAGAGGGATTTCTGTCTCTGTCACACTGTAATATAAATCACATATCATGTATGAATGCATCATTTAAACTCACATAGTTTTATGGCATACTGTGACAGCTCTTTCTCTCTAGAGTCTGCTGATAGTTTGATAATGGTCTTAGTCCTTGACATTAGTGCCTTTAGGCAATCGACCTACATGGGACATGTATCAGCAAATTATGTTGACTATAAATAACGGAAAAAATATACATAATGAAAATAAATCTTCCTTTGTTACTAACAGAAGAAGGTGGTGAAAGTGTACTCAATTACTGATATACAGAGAACTTGAAGAAATAAAAGGCTGTTTACACTGAAGTGGCAAAGTGCTGATGGAAAATTGTTTTGGCAGCATGTAAGGAAATGGGGAAGTGAACAAAAGACAAAAGAAACAGTCCGTGTGAAACTTCCTGTATAAAAATCCCACATCGACCTTATTGTCTTTAGGGAAACTGCAAGTTAAACATTTTATCTCTAAGATTTATCATTTTTAAGTGTCTAAAATTTGTAAGATATTTCCAGAATTTAGTGGTCATTTATACTAGCTAATCCATGGTGTGACAGTAGTGTTAGATGGGAATTGCAGAAGTGCCATTGCAACTTGGCTTGGATAAGGTCTCATTTGGAATACCATGTACAAGACAAGTTATCTATAATTAAGAAAGATAAAATAGAACTGGAAGAGGAGCAGAGACAATCTTACAATGATATATTGCAAAGCTTGAGTTGTTTAGCCAAGCAAGATACAAGACGGAAGATTGGTTTAGGACCCTAGAAATATCTCCTCGAATTAATATCAAGGAAGAAAGAATGCCTAAAGTTAAAAACAAGTACTGACATAAAGTCAAATTACTGAGCAAAATTCTGAGAGTATCAACACAGACTTTGGGAGAAAGTGAGCCCAAATTTGTTTTAAGATGAACTTCAGTGTATATGTGGAAGGAGCTGTACATATGTGGAAGAAAATATTTGGGGCTTGAAAGTTGATGGCTCAATCTTGGTCCCCTAGACAAGGGTAATTAGTGCCATTAGAGTTGTCCTTGAATACTGTCCCTGGTTTCTAGCTGCCATGTGATGAATGTCTTTTAGTTTCTCCTACAAGATCTGAATAGCATTTGTTAGACCTGTGCAGATGTTCCAGATAAATTACATCATCTCAAAAGGCATTAGGTGACCATAGTTAAATAGTTAGTTCCATAGTTAGTAACCATAGTTAGCTCCTGAATCAGGCCAAGAGCATAGGCTTTCAGGTATGTCATGTGTTGCATAGGCAGAGATATATCCTAGGAACTCTATCTTTATAATCTTTTATTGTATTTATAATATTTTCTCAACTTCTACTTGTCACATTTGGAGGCAAGAGAGGATTTCCCTCGGGTGAATGCTCTAGTTTCCAGGGGAGGCAGGCTTTGCTTTCAGCTTTGAAGCAGAAAATGTTCTCCACAGCTGCAGGGAGGAAGTTTACAAGATACATTTGAAGGTCACAGTGCATCACATTGCTTTAGGCTGGTGCTAAGGATTGAAGCAGATGTTGGTCAAGAGAGGAATTTTCTCCCAAGTTTGACGTAAAAGATCATTTGGTTATTTTTCTTTTTATGTTTTCTTTTCTCTTTCTCTTTCTCTCTCTTCTTTCTTTCTTTCTTTCTTTCTTTCTTTCTTTCTTTCTTTCTTTCTTTCTTTCTTTCTTTCTTTCTTTCTTTCTTTCTTTCTTTCTTTCTTTCTTTCTTTTCTTTTCTTTTCTTTCTTTTCTTTTCTTTCCTTCTTTCTTTTTTCTTTGTTCCTCTCTTCCTCTCTCTTCTTCTCTCTTTCTCTCTCTTTCTTTCTGTCTCTTTTTCTTTCTTTTCTGTATAAAGAAGAAAGTAGTCTGTCTCTGAGGCAGTGGTATTTAACAAACTCTATGCTAGTACACAGAATGGAGATGTTCTCAGTGTCTCCTTCACAATTTTCATGGCATAATTGTGACAGCCTATAATTTTAGTACAGGGTGCTGGATGTGGTTTGCAGCCTAGGAAATATGGTATATGTGAAGTTTCTGCAGCTTTTTGAACTAGAGATGCCCTTGGCTGCCCACAGTTCCAGGGATTCTGACCTAGATGAACCAGACTGCCTATACATCATGAGCTGCACTGTCCCTTCCAGCCATATGCTCCTATTTTTCTGTCCATATCAATATCATAATCCATACATAGCTTAGTACTGAATGTTGGGAGAGCTTGCATCACACTGCCCTGAATTTTCTGAGAATTCTACCATACATGTATTTTTGCGCTGATTACCTATCTCCTAGCCATTTTTTTCTGTGTGCCAGAATAAGTAATTGTTATTTTATTTTACATGTTCTGAACCTTTACTGTGGACTGGTTGTTTTCAAGTAATTTATGTCTCATTTTGAAGTATTTTTAAATCAAATACATGTTGGAAAGATTTGAAAATTTCTCAAGAAGGTGTTGCCACAGCTGCATATTTGAAAGTATCAGCCAGCTCTCAGTATAAGATGACTGTGTACAGAGAATGTAACATATACTAACACTAAGTCATGAGCATTTTACATGCCATCTAAGTAGCCAATTGTTTTACCAGAGGCTCCTGAATGATTATGAGGAGATAACTATAAATGGCCAGGGAGAAATAAAAAGGAAGAAATAAAACATTTAGAGGTGTGATATTTCTGGGGAAAAAATAAAAACCTACTTAGTGTCTGGGAGATTAGTGGGAAAATGCATACTTAGCTACCTTTCCCAGGAAATTAAAAGTGGGGTCTTAAGATCTTGTTGCTCAGGCTCAAGTACCCTCTGGAGAGGAGATTTTGAGGAAAGAAAGCTAAGTTACTTCCTGAGATGGCAGCTGTTTCAGGAGAAGACTGAACACGGATTTGTGCTGTCACAGGACTGTGGTGCTGAGTCAGAGCATCCTTACGGGAAATGGTCCGGTTTTAGATAGCTCAAACCAGGGAAAGTGAGCCAGCATGTAAATCATGACACTGACCCAACACCCACCCCTCTCACCCAGATGTGAGGAAGCAGCTCAGGATCCTGGTGCAGAAAGCTGTAGCTGTGCTTTCCTGTGTCTCAGCTCCACCACAGATCCCACCTGAGACCTGGTAGCTGACTCCACATGAACCAGGCCAAAATCAACAGGCTGGCTGCAACCACAGAACAGTAGGAATATATTAAAGGAAGCAGAATTACACCAGCTATCATTTCTCATATTTTATTTTATTGTCCCGTCACTGGACGTAGAAACTGCTGGAGCTGAAACAAGTCTACACAGGGACAAATGTTTCTCTCTGCTCTGCTGTTTTAAGCCTTCTCCATGGTTAGTTGAAAGCTCTCTTTGACCTTGCCCTGAAATGGGCTAGAAATGCTCACTGAGGTCCAACAGTCCTCAGCAGCTTAGTTTCAATCACTGAGCTGAAATGGAGACCTTGATGGAATCCGTATATCTGGGCTTTGTGGTCATTGACACTGCCAAACCTGGAATCAAGTTTAGCATGTCAGCAGGTATGTTGATGACTGAGCCCAGGACTAAAGTTCAGTCATAAAACTATCACAACTTTCCCAGAGAAGAGGGCAGAGGAAGTCTGAAGAAGACAGCTGTGTTTGGCTAACAACTGGAGTGCTGAACTGTGTGTAGGCAGATTACAGCAGAGTATGGATTATTTTATTGCTGTTTTCTTATGTCATGGAGTGTTACTGTGAGCAGTATCCTGAAAAGGCTGTTGAGTCACCGTCTGTTCCTGCTCACAGCTCCCAGGAGCAGAACAGCAGGTACAGGACATAACTCAGGCTTGCTGAGGAAATCACGGTTTAGCACACAGGCATCTGACATTCAAGCACTCTTTTTTAAAGTATAAGAGCCACTTGATACTATCTGAGGTAAATGACCTCTAAAGTTCCATTCCAATTGGACAGTGGTAGGGGTGGAATGGAAATACGCTTTCCTTTATTTCAGATGTGTTTTTAGCTTTGTCTTGAACAATTACTGGTAACATTTCTGTTAAGAAAGCTAACATCTCATTTTTTACAGATTTATTGCATATTTATAAGCTCTGGTGCCTCTTCAAGGAAACCGGTGACACCTTCTGCTATTTTCTTCATAGTTACATCAGTTTTAAAAGACTTGATTAAAGAGCTTGTCTTTAGCATTATTTCCAGCTCTAACTTAAGCTTTCCCTGTTGTATATCCTCTGCAGAAAAACACAACTTCATATTACCTGAGAATTTGAGGGGTCCAGAAACTAATTCTAATTCCAGAATTAATGTGAATGTCCTTTTTGTACATTCAGTCCACCAGAGCAGGTAAGATACTGCTTTATGCTGAATTTTGGTGAAAAAAAATGTCCAATGGCAGCCTTCCTATAATTTCAGGAAGACAGAAACAAAGTATCTCATTCAACAGAGGTTAGAGGTAGAAATAAACTTGAATTTCTGGAGATATTAATCTTTTCTGATATCTGGGAAAGTGGGAGTCAGAAAACAGGTAGGATCTTTGTCCCTGACATGCTCTCTCTGTTCATTCTGTTTTTCTCACAACTTGATTTTTTTTTCTGCCTTTCCATTCCCCAAGGCAGTTCAGACAGTGAACCCCAAAGTAGTGCTTACCTGATCATCACTATCCTACTAGTGGGACCATGTACTGGGTTTACGCGGCAATGTTTTGGTAGCAGGGGGGCTGCAGGGGTGGCCTCTGTGAACAGAGCCCAGCAGCTGCCCCATGTCAGGTCAGACAGGTCAGCTCCAGACAGCTCCAGAAAGGACCTGCCAGAGCCAAGCCAGTGAGTGATGCTGGTTGGGCCTCTTGGAGAGCAGATTTAAGGAAGGGGAAAAACAAACAAACAACAACAACAAAAACTGTTGTGCAGCAGCAGCTGGGAAGTGGAGTTAGAACCAGCCCTGCAGCCCCCAGGTCAGTGCAGCAGGAGGGCAGGAGTTGCTCTAGGCACACAGCAGCAGTTCCCCTGCAGCCTGTGGAGAGGCCCCTGGTGGAGCAGGCTGTCCCTCTGCAGCCCATGGGTCCCACATGGGGCAGATCTCCACGCTGCAGCTCATGGAGGAACCCCCAGTGGAGCAGGTGGATGTGGCCTGGAGGAGGCTGCGGCCCATGGAGAGCCCCCGCAGGAGCAGGCCCCCAGCTGGAGCTGCAGCCTGTGGAGAGGAGCCCACGCAGGAGCAGGGGGACTGGGGGCAGCTGCTGCCCATGGGAGACCCGTGCTGGAGCAGTTTGCTCCTGATGGACGGACCCCGTGGTATGGAGCCATGTGGGAGCGGTTCTTGAAGAGCTGCTGCCTGTGGGAAACCCCTGCAGGTTCAATTCGGGAAGGACGGCATGCCGTGGGAGGGACCCCATGTGGAGCAGGAGCAGAGAGGGACCGTGAAGGAGTGATGGGGATGAAGCCTTATGGACTGACCACAGCCCCCATTCCCCAGTTCCCCTGCACCACTGCTGGGGAGGAGGTGGAAAAGGGTGGATGGGGGAAAGGTGTTTTTAGTTTGCTTTTCATTTCTCACTGTTCTAGTCTGCTAGTGACAGGCAATAAATTATATTAATCTCCCTATGCTGAGTCTATGCTGCCTGTGATGATAATTGATGAGTGATCTCCCTGTCCTTATCTCAACTGTTGAGCCTTTTCCATTGTGTTTTCTTCACCTTTTCCTTTGAGGAGAAGGAGTGAGAGAGTGGTTGTGGTGGAGCTCAGCTGCCCAGATGGGTAAAACCACCATAGACCACTCAAAAGGATAACTACCAACAACATAGCTAACAGAATGGCCACGGTATGGCTCATATTGTTCTTCCTATACCAACAGAAGTCAATAGAAAGATCTGACTTCCCTATATTTTGGTTAAGATATGGTTTTATAGCTTGAACTTGGAAGTTAGGGCAAGGAAAAAAAATCTGTGTTTCATAATCAGACAGCACAGTGTTAAAACAAAAGATGGACCAAATGTAAATCTGAAGAAAATCTTTGAAACATATAAAATTTGTTTCCTTAAGTTAACAGTTTGAATTAATTGTCTCCTTTAGAACCACATTAGCCACCATACATGAGCGATTTCTTTTGTCTTTGGAAATTTCTGATCCCATTTGTCAGAGCACCAAGAAGCCTGCTTAGACAGATATCAACTCACAAGTCTTCTCAAGTGCCACAGGGGTCCCCTACTTTCATTTTGCCCTTCAGGTTACCACTTTCTTCAGACCTATGTCCCTAGCCTTACTGCTTTGCCAGTTGATGGTTCCATGAATCAGCCCAAGGGAATGAATGGCTGGTTTCTGGAAGGCAGACTTACAGAAGGCAATGGATGATGAATCACTGAAGTTAGTAGGTGTTACTCATTAGCATTGTTTTTTAATGAATGAATCTCACAATGGCAAAAGCAATACTCACCAGACAATGAGGGAAGTGGTAGGATGTACTTGTGTAATGCATGGAAATGACATGACAGCAAACACCGTCATCTAGGCTGCAGCGGCATCTGCCTCTGCTCATTCTAATAGAATTATAGAGGGTTTACATTTGTTCCAATACAAATAGGTACAGAGAAAAATAAGAGATGATAAGGAATGTTTGCTTCCACATGCCGCAAATAAAGACAGATGCAAAATACAAAGGGAAAGGTAGGTTCTAATGAAAGCTGCCTTCTCACAGGCCTTGATGCATGCACAGATGTTCAGATCTCTTTTGCAAGTATCTTCAGGAGCTAAGAAAAATAACTGAATTTAAGTAATTTAAGCTACATCTACCTAAGAGAACAATGTGTTTCAAAACGAGAAAATTTGTAAGTTAGAAGAGTTGGTGACAAGGATGTGATGTACATATCCAGTTTAAAGGTTTTAATGAAAACTAGATATAGTCTGATCCTGCCTGTTCACTGCCCATTAGCTTTTAGAGTGTATTAGGTACCATCCTGCAGCATTTTTACTAGTTTATTTACACAAAAAAGAAAAACAGCCTGCATGTTCCAAGACTATTCCACAGTCTGAGGACAATAGGGAAATTCACAAACATGCACCTGATCTAAACTAAAACAATAGGGTACATATGTGCATTTATAGTGTCCACCCAGCTGTATCTTTAGGGCAATCACATCTGAGAGACTGCATTCACAACCTTCTCCAACTGCAAAGTAAGACACCATTATTAAGCTATTATAACCCACTAGCTACTGTATCTCTTTGGCTGCAATTTTATTGAAGCCCATAAAACAGAATCATATCTTCCTTTCTGCTAAGGGCCTTATTCAGCACTGCTAAACTCTGTGAAAATCTTTTTGGTGACTTCAAGCAATCGTAGAATAGCCTCCAGGAAAACTGTTCACTCATTTGCTTTGAGTTGGATTTTTAAGTGACTTTCATTGGAATTCATGATGTGAATTCATGATGCTGTTTTGTCTTAGAACCACTGTAGGACCTATTCTGTATTGGCAGGAGCAGGCGTTCCTTCTGCTGAGAAGACAGGAGATGGTGCAGAGCCAACTACGGTTTCTGTAGTTCCAGTGCTTTTCCAACGCCTTCCAACACCAACACTTTGACAGCTGCTGCTGCAGCATCTGACCTTATGCACAGTATCTGTTATTACATCTACTGCCTTCTGCAGTAACATCTTTTTTCACTTTTCCCATGACTAGGTGTGTTTTGCATTGTACTTTTTCCTCTAGCTTAATTCTAGCAACAGTCTAATTTCATAGCCAATATAAATATGACTTAAGTTTAAGAATCAAATATTCACTTGTGTGAATCCCACGGTTACTCTATGTTTCATGTTGGTCTGCCTAATGCTTTTCTTTCCTCTGTGTCCATAGTTTTGCACCACTATGACGTGAGGCACGTAACACAAAAAAGTACTGCCAGCAAAAGCCACATTGCTGTCCATGGAATATTTCCCTGTTCACTCAGCATTTTCTCTGCTGCAATGGGTATGGTTCATATCCTCTAACTGAAAAACAGGTCCCTGGAGGAAAGTGCCTGCAGATCACAAAAATGCAGTCAAACAAAAATAATGCATTCATCGTTTTTAATGTTTAATAGAATTCCATGACAACTCCCAACCACATACCAGGGACTTCTAACCTAGACGATACTGGGCAACAGAGAGAATTAGTTAAACAAATGCTCATTTTTGTTTAGCAAAGCAGTCCCTATGTGTTCTACCACTGACCTTTTTTTTGTTACAGATTAAGTTTGTTTAAGAAAAACTGGCAGACAATTTTGTGATGAAATAATTGTCAGAAACTGTTGATGTGTCAAAGTAGAAAAGTACCACTCATTACTTTTAAAGGACAAGATTTTCTGGTCAAACTCAGATGGAAGACAGATGTTCACTGGCCTTAAAAGATTTTCAGGCAGCCATATGGGAGTAAGAACCCAACCATGATGTTCTTGCTTTACTTAGTTCATCCCGTGGATCTGAACCTCATGCTCTCATATACCCTGCAAGTTTTCTGCTCTCTGGACTATTAAGTCACCTTCCCTTACACTGTTTCCAAGTAGATACGTAGTTATCTATGTGAAGTGGAATATTCCCGATAGGAATGACTGACAGAAACAGAGATTTACTCAACAGCATGATTTAGGCATTTGAATAAATCTACCACTCTAGTGATAGATAAGTCCAGTCAAATGTCTGTTTGAGAAAGGTAAACACATAAAGTTAAATGTAGACAGAAAAAAAAAGAGAGAAGCTCAAATCCTTTGGCATATTCGGACAGACCAGATCCTTCAAAAGAGATTTTGATCTCGAGTGTGCCTGTTCCTGAGATGTTACTTATTATGGGATAGATAGGTCTGTCTTGTTTTACTAAAAACTTTGAAATGTCCTAATGCAATTTCAAAGTATACTATGCATGCACACCCTAAAAAAAAAAAAAAAAAAAAAAAAAAAAAGAATCAAAAACTCAAAACTGCACAAAAATTCACAGTGGGAAATGGGAAATATTTTTTTCCCTGAGACTTTGACTTTGCTTAACTGAAGTCTTTCTATAACATGGGAGTGGGAGAATCAGCAGTGTCTTGCACTTATATGGTCCTCTGAGATCTCATGTTCCTTTAAAATAGCTAATAAATTCATCTTTGTCACATTCCTTTGAGGTAGGGAGGTAATATTATCCTCATTTTAAAGATGAGAAAAATGCAGTATGGAGGTAATAAGTTCTCAATATCAAATAAAAAGTCATTGGCAGCACTGCAAAGAGAACCTAAATATACAGCTTTCAGTCTTAACTATGATATTACCCTTTTCCATAAAGTGTTCTTCTTCCTAAAAGTATCACGGTCTGCATTGAAAGAGAAAGATACTCTTTCACCTCATCTGTACTGCTGAGGCTTCTCCTGTTCCATGAGATCAGTTCAAGTACTGTTTATAAAACAAGGAAGAATCATCCAGATCACTCAGTCCTCAGTATTTCAAACACATCCTCTAATCACAGGAGTTTGAATTGTTTTGGCCTTGGATCTCTTTTCCTAATGTTGAAAATAAACTCTACAGTATACTGGAGGAATTAGGGTTTTATATACAGAAAAAGAAAAAAAAATCATTAGAGCCATCATGCTTCAAAAAAATTATTTCAGTGAATCGGTTTATTTTTTCCAGTGAAAACACATTTTGCTGAGAAATTTCTAACCACTTGGCTTTCAGAATAAGTTAAAAACCTACACTTTAATCCTGAATTCCTTCCTGAGGCATATTTTGTCCTCTCGGGGATTTAATCTGCCAAATTAAAAAATTGGAAGTAGTATTAGAAATAACAATGGTTTATCATGGTTTATCTTAGGAAAGCAATTTTATTCACAGTGAAAAATCCCCTAGGAACTTTGTTTTGACTGCAGTGACATCTACTGGTATTTAGAAATTTTTCTGAAAATCAAGTAAAAGCTAATATGAACATTGTGCTATATATGAGGTCTTGCAGCCTGAAGGTTTAGTTTTGGGGTTTGTTTTGTTGTTGTTGGTTGGTTGGTTGGTTTGGTTTTTGTGATTTTTTTTCCTACGTATGAGAGCAGAAAAAAAGCAGATATTCCAAAGTTCAAGCATGTATCATCCCAAAGACGGCAGCTTTGCTCATGTTTTTTTGATGTAAGAATAAATGCTTCAAGAGAAGAGAGTAAAACAGGAAGAAACCAAATCACCTGAGACACAGAGAGTGGATTCTTACTTGTTTTCTATTCCAGAGTGAATATAAAGAAGGGAAAAGACTACACTGGAGGGATGTATTCAAGAATGCAGGGGGTTCTTCTGGAGTTAGGGAAGCAGCAGTGCTGGCAGAGGGAGCAGTAGGCTGATGCCTGGAGCTGTCAGACATTCCCCCCTCTGCAGCTTTGAGACAAAACACAAACATGGTGAGACTAACAGGGCAGTAAGCTAAGAAACCAAAACCCTGCACGGATCACCATGGAGCATCCAAAACCCCTTATCCTGTTCACTTTGCATGGTGCACAGTCAGCTATTGACCTCTTCCAGAAAACTGGGTCCTTAACAGCACTGGGGATGTTTATGTCCTCCTGCTCTTTGCTAAGTCCTTGTCCTTTACCTTTTGAGTACTGAGCGGGTGCTTGAGAAGTTGCAAAGAGAGTCCAGTGCTGCTACCTGGCTTTAGATGAAAGATATAAATACTGGAGATGAAAAATGTTTGAAGGGAACAGCTGAAAAAATGAGACTGTAAACATTTGTTTATATTTTCTAGCTGGTTGGTTTACTGCCTCTGTACTCTGAGGTCTGTAAAGGAACAAATGAATTGCCCTGACATTCCTGCCCATCCAGATCCTGGACAAAGAATGAAAGGCTTCCTTGTACCATGCTGCTGTGTTCAGAACATTGGATCAGATTATCTTGTAAAATGAGGTAGCACAACAAGCACACGTTCGGACATTAGGAAAACCTTCCTGGTATCTGTACTTCATCAGTCTACAAAAGAGGATGGTGAGAGCAGCCCGCTTGCAGCAGAAGCACAAGAAAATAGAGTTAAACAAGAGACACCAATGAAAAAAATGAAAAATCGCCAGCACAATTTAGCCATTCAGTGAGCAGATGATTGGAAGTGATTGACAAGTTCTAATAATTGACAAGTAATTTTCAAGTGGAAGAACTTGCCAATTACTTGTCAATGCTACGAGATGGTAATAGTGCTATTTGCATCTACAAGATGGTAATGGTGCTACTTGCATCTTCTGTGTAGCATTTAGAGACTTAGATAAGAAAACACTATATAGGAGCTAAGGATTTTTATAAAATACACAGATAGTCTTTTCCATTGTAAATTCTCTCCATTTGTGATCCATTCAAATTAGATTTCTCTCTAAATTCTAAGCATGTAAGATGTGTCACACATATGAAACACCACAAAACATAGCTTTGGAACAATGTACTGTATAGTAATATGTGTTATTTATACACTAGGAGCCCCCATTTTCTTTCTGTAGAAAACAGAAAATCTTGTATACTTGATTGTATGCACTCAATTTGCCAATGTGCACAAAGGAAAAAATATGTTAAAATGTTTCCTTTTATTAACAATGCAGAATAATGACATATGAGTATTCTGAAAATCATTACTGAACATATTCAGATACAAAATCCTTGCCAGGTCTTTCTGAGAAAAAAATGAGAAGTGTTTCAAGAAATACTGTCCAGTGACAATAATTTACTGTTAGTCTAAGCCAGAAAGCTGCATCATATAATGCATTAAATTATTCTGTTCCTCTCTGCCTTTCAGTTAAAATCAAGAAGATGTACTCTAATAAGAACAGTGGGCCATTTCTCTGGACTTTGCAACCTTCCACATTATGCATGAATCTATCCTGCAGCCATTTGGAGAAGCACTGGGAGCAAATGAATTATGAGTCATGGGAAGAAGAAAAGACATGTCACAAATATTGAAATTAAATGCAAAAGAAAATGACAAATACTGGAAATGTGAGCTGCCTAACAAGCGACAGATAGTAAAACATGGCAAATGCTGGAAATGGCAAGTAATACAAGAAGACAAGTACTGGGAAGAAAACACAGTAAAATAAAAGAATGAAAACATGTACAGAACTAATGGTATCATTGATCCTAAAGAATTTTGAAAAGGTAAGACAAAAATACTGCAACAAACAGTGCTCTGGGGAAGATGCTAAATTAAGGCACAGTACAAAATAAGAGACCAAAAGATTTACTTAGAAGCTTGATCAGAAGCACCAGAATTGTCATTGATGGGCTCTCTGATGCTGTCCATTGTTTTTTGTGTAACTTCAGTATACTCTTTTCTACTCTAATCTATTTCTTTCCTGGCATGTATATCTACATGTGGATACCAGTTTGAGTTTGTGGAAGCTTTTTATGATCTTTGGCCATTATTTTAAAGGTGGTCATACAGACTTTGATTTACACCTTGAGTAGTCTCAGTGACTTGCAGAAACTACACTTGCTAAGGGAGGAAGAATTTTTTCCAAGTTCATTTATTGATTCTAAAGTAAAAAGAAAGAAGAGAGCGTGAAAGTAAAGATGAGAGATCACAGTCTCAGTTGACATATATGAGTGTAGTTAGATAGACCTCTGATTTATATTAATTAGGAAACTTGATGTTCTGTCACTGCAATACTACTTCTGAGAATGACAACTCCTAACAGAACAAGGTCTAGGGAGAAAACAGATTTATAATTAAGAGAATTATTCTTTCAACTAACCTAAGGCAACTTCATGAGGCATCTGCTCTGAGTCACACTTGACTGGAGACTCTGCATGCACTGATTTAACAGGGAACCAAGGAAGATACAGCAATACTTCAAAGGCAGAGAAGTAGCTACACCAACACTTTTATGAAAAGTTCACTAGAATGAAACTATTAGATGAACATAACAATACTGGAAATCTTCAGAAAAAGGTAGAAATGAATTTCCTGACTCTAATGCTCATAACCGATTTCAGTACAAGTAATAATGTGATTAAAATGAAACTTCCATACTTAGATAAAAGTTGGCAGCATTGTAGATCCCAGCTGATTTTAGAGGTTATAAATGAAGCATTCTAAGAACAGGGACTTTCCATCTTAATGCTGCATACATGCATCTGAGTAGCTTTATAAAGGTATAAAAATAAAAAAATAAAAATATATACTTCTGATGGAACAAGACCTGGGACTGGAAATCCAGACCTTTCCTCAATTGTATTAAAGATCTTCTTACGTTGTTGTTTTATATTTGCAAGGGATCTTCACTTGAAGACCATCAAGTGAAGTAATCATCCAAAATGATATAGATAAGAATTAACCCATAAGCATAGCTTATCAAGAACTATACCTCTTTGCCTCTTTTTACTTTGTTTTATATCAAGTTTTAGTGCCTAGTTGATATGATTTGTCAGTTGAAATATGGTATCTCAGGATATTTACCTTGACATCTTTTCTGGGACTTATTTTTTTTTAAAATATCTGATTGGAGAGCAGAGAGATTAATATAAGACATAAAATATTTCAAGTTAACAACTTTTAAATTAAAAAAAAAAAAAGGTTTTCAAACATGGAGTCACACTCTCTTTCCATGGAGAAATATCACGACTGATTCCGTATTACTGGCTAAGAGTTCAATGAAATTTATGAGCCTTTTTAAAACAGAATAGTGAATAATATTTACTAAATATACTTTATGCAAATTATACTTTAATATTTTTAACAAGATGCTACAGCTTGAAGAGTAAGGACAGGAAGAAATGAGGAGATTGAATTACAAAAGGAGAGCATAAACAATGGCAAAAATAGTACAGAAATTAGTGGCTATTTCTGACATAAAACATAGATCCTGTTTAAAATTGACATTGGTTGAAAATGTGTTTCTCCATACATTAGAGAGGACAGAAGGCATTAAGTCAAACGTCATCAAAGTAACAAATAAATAGAAAGATTTGCTCTTCCCTATATTACCAGGTATTACTATTATGCACCCACTTAGAGCATTTACAGGTCCAAACACTTGACATAAACACAGTCCTTGGCACCAGTTTACATTTTATCCATAGGCTACAAGGAACAGCAGTTAGACGCCTGCATCTCTGCTGAGTAGAGATTAACTGAGGTATTATTTGACACAACTTTCAAGAGAAACATGAAAATTATCAAAATTAAATAAGAAAGACAACTACAAAGAATATTGCAATGATAGCTAATTTTCGTAATATTTATAGATTTATTTTTTTTTTGGAATACAATGAATTTCAATTATATAATTGCTTCCTGGATGAATAAGACACCAAGAAAAATTTACTTTTATGTCATACCATCACAATCAGGGACTGTAAAATCATGATTCATCAGATATAATAGCTCAAACAAATATATATTTTTTTATTTTGTCTCTGTGAAACTAGTGCATTCAGAGACATTATTTTTTACCAATATAGAAATACAGCTATATAGGAAATAATTATCTAAAATTACTTAAGAGATGCATGTGACTCCTAATTGCAGTAGTTTAAACCCTATTTGAGCTGTTTGAAGCAGCCAGGTATTGTGAGATACAGTTTGTCAATACTTAAAAACTAAAATCACACGGGTTTTTGTCCCCAGGAATAATAATGAAACATGGGCTTAACTGAACAGAATGATTTCCAAGGTTGAGCATTTAAAAGTTTGCATAGGGATGAGTCATAGAATATTAACACTCAGCTGCTTGATTCTTGAACACACCAAACTTTTTGTTATATGCAGAATTTTCACATCCAAATTGATGCACATGGGACTACCTATTTACACTTGGAGTTGTATGATTTGTTTATAAAAACATAAACAAACAAGGCTTTAGTCATGACTGTGTACTTTCTGCAACTTCCCTGCAGCACGGGCTTTTGAAAATATATGCAGAAAAAGAAAATAAGAATATTTAAAATGAGCTGGAAAATATACATCTGAGAAGTTGCTGCAGCATAGTATGAACTTCCTTCTGAATAGCAACTCTGATTATCTATTTCAATAACAAGGTAAGAAAAGAGAATATGAAAAAAAATGGAGTAAATACATATTATACATATTATATTTTAAACTCAAAGATAAGGTATTTGTGCTATTTCATGCCACCAATACTTTATGTATCACTACAAACGGTAATAAAATCAAAGATGATAATATTGTCTTCCACACAAATCGTAATAAAAACAAAACATCACAGGCCCCTAGTATCTCCCTGTGGACAAATCCACATACACTATGCTAACCAAGCCAAGGATAGCATGTCAAGGCAAAAGCATTTTTACTTCAGTTATCCACTCTGTAGTGCTGGAAACCACACATTTCTAAGTTCATAGTACTATGCCTTTTATCCAAGGATTTTGATGTGCTTTACAAACTTTAATTAAGCTTCACAGCATGCCTACCAGTCAGGCAGAACTTATACCATTTTCAGAGAAAGCGTGGCATGGCCTTCATTCCTTACACCTCTGCTCTGATCGCACACGGCATTTTCTCCACTGTGATATATTGTGGAAACACATAATAGCAGAGCAAAAGGCCCCAGTGTGCCCAGCTTCTATTACCATAACTTTTTTTGATTTGATTTCTTACTTTTCCAATAATAACTTACATAAACTGTTGTGGTTTTTGTTTGTTTGTTCTTGTTTGTTTGATTATTTTTTTTCTCTGCAGCTGAATTCATACCTGTACATCTAATCTGAGCTTATGACTAATACACACATTTTTTCTATTATTAGTTTTTAATTAGAAAGAGTTATAAGTGCGGTGTCAAGAGTTGGACTTGATGATCCTTAAGGGTCCCTTCCAACTCAGGATATTCTATGATTCTATGATTCTATGATAATTTAGGTTGCACTTTCTCCTAGAATCAAATATAGAAAAATATATGCAGGAAAAACACAACAGAGACAATATGGATTTGTAAATGAATTGCTGCAGGAGCTGTGCAAAGTAATTACTATAGGAGAGTGGTGTTTTCATAAACTGAAAGGCTGTAAATTGTTGATGGATTGCCTGTTGAGCCAGGCACTACAGAAAGACATGGTGTTAGGTGTCCAGCCAGTGTGCAGAAGCATAACAAGGGTCACAGCTCCTCACAGCTTCCATCTTCCATCTCAAACACTACGTCTGTCTTGACAGGTGGAAACTGTGAGATGCCCAGCCCTGTTTGTTAGCTTGAGAAGCCTGGAAAGACCTATTAAGATAAAGGATGCTGTGTTTGCAAACATGCTGTCTAGTCGTGTTAATGCCAGGTTAGGCAGCAGCATGCCCTGTTGTCTCTTCAGCAATCATTTCAGCTCACAGCAGGGCAACCTGAGCTAGCACAGCCAAAAATCAACCTCAGCTTGCCCTTCCTCTTGTTCATTTGGACTGAAAACTTTTCAGAGCATAAATCCTCTTCCCTACAAGTTAGTGTGCATATAGAACAATACAACTGCATTTTCTTTTGTGACATCTAAACACCTCAATAAGAAACAGAGCACTGCATTAACAAGTTCATTAATAACCTCCTTCAGAGTGTGTCTTAGGGTTTATGCTTCATTTAAATATAGCCTATAGGACAAACTGAGGAAGTGAGAGAGAGATATTTATTAGTTTTTGCTTATTGTAGTTGCAGTTTTAGTGATCCTGTGATACATCTGACCAAAACACTTCCAGCTTGAAAAGGGGAAGTTGGATACAAGCTTTATGAACTGAAGTTTGATATTGTATCTACAAATGAGCAAAATACGTTTACAAAATAATTGAAAACAAACTTGGATTTAAACCAAAGCAAGAACTTTGAAATGTACATTAAGTCATGAAAGTGTATGTGACCAGATCTCCTAAGGCATCTATGATTCAGAGCAACAAGTATAAAAGGCAGCTAAAATGTAGCATATGCAGTACAGTCAACTAAACATAAAAGAATTTACTGTACAGTATTAAAACCCGGTAATAAATTTTAGTATCTGAAATATTAAGGAGGAGATCAACATGACTGTTATTAGAACACTGTGATGGGAATTATCATGGAAAACTTTAACTATAAAGCTCAAGAAAAAGATATTTGTAGTAAAGAGGTCAAGGTATTTCACAAAAAGATTGAGACAGTATAAACATTCACATCAGGCAGCAATGTGCTGCTAAGAAGGCTAATAATATTCTTGGCTGCATGAGGCAAATCACTTTCAGGCCAAGAGAGGTGATCCTTCCCCTCTGCTCAGCATCAGTAAGGATGCACCTGGGGTACTGGGTCCAGTTCTGGGCCACCCAGTGCAAGAGAGACCTGGACGTACTGGAGAGAGTCCAATAAAGGGAAACAAAGGTGATGAAGGGACTGGAGCATCTCTCCTCTGAAGAGAGGCTGAGAGAGCTGGGACTGTTTAGCCTGGAGAAGAGGAAGCTTTTGGGGGATCTTATCAATGTATATAAATACCTGAAAGGAGGGTGCAAAGGGGCAAGAGCCAGGCTCTTTGCAATGGTGCCAAGTGGCAGTAGGCAATGAGCACAAACTGGAACACGAAAAGTTCTGTCCAAAATATCAGAAAATGCTTTTTTACTGTGCAGGTGACAGCCCTGGCACAGGCTGCCCAGAGGCTGTGGGGTCTCCTCTCCCAGGACCTTCAGAAGCTGCCTGGACATTGTCCTGAGCAAGCAGCCCTGGGTGTCCCTGCTTGAGCAGGGGTGGCATCACGTGGCCTCCAAAGGTCCCTGACAGCCTCAGCCACCCTGGGATTCTTTGATTCTGTGAAATGTTGATAGAAGTTAGCCATAAGGATTTTTAGCTTACGTGTAGGCATTGCTTTATCTTTGAAGAAAGCATATGAATGCAAGTTTGTGTCCCTCTGTTTGTATGTCTGCATTATTTTTCCCTTTCTGATTATACAATAAAATGTCATAAAACAGCCATGTAAAAATGCTGATTATAATATAACCCCAAAATTTTATGATCAGTAACTTTAAGCTATAATTACTAAGATTTACTTTTTCATCTGTAAAGCTAGAAATACCTGTCCATCACACATCATTTTTCTAGTGGGATATATTTGGCCTCGTTAAAATGTAGCAATCTCTATGAAATACATATTGCTAGCAAAGGAATGCATCTATCCATGAACCTGTATTTATAAATCTTGCTACTTACAAAATTTACTTTACAACGGAGCTCATGGCCATCACAAAACCTCCCCACAGCCTTTCTCCCCCGTGGGTACAGCCACACGTTAATTCAGGATGGTGCTCCATCAGAGGTGTCACTTTGGGTCATGCAGTTTTGCTGACTGGCAGGAACTGGCTCCAGCATGAGATGGCTGCAGTAAGACACGGCTTAGTTGGGAGCGTCGCTGCAGCAGGGGCCATTGATGGGCTGGGTCTTGCCCGGTGCAAGGTAAGCATCTCCCAGCCCTGCCATTTTGCTGCAGCAGCCAAACCCTGCCAGGCTAGAAGCATGCCCTGTCTTCCCCTCCTGACAGGTTCATCACAGGGATATTGACTGCTTGCTCAGCTGCTTTGTTAATGCATAAGCATGAGCTCAGAGGATTGCAGCACAGCTGTGCCAGAAAAGTGGAGCGTGGTGCAGGGATCTGAGCTCCCTGCTGCACTAAAATTGGCCCAGCGCGGCACCTGCATCAGCACAGGGCCCCCAGTGCTTCGGCCTGTTTCTTCTGCTGATGCAGGGTGCAGGGAGACTGACACTGGGAGTGAAAGAAGTGGCATTATGTTCCTTATCCATAGTGCTGGGGAAACAATGAAAGAAGGGAGGGAGGGAGGAAAGGGAAAGAGGGGGAGAGAGAGAGAGGAAGGGATGAAAGGGAGGGGAGGAGGGGAGGAGAGAAGAAGGGGAGGAGGAGAGCGGGAAGGAAGGAAGGGAGGAAGGAAGGGAAGGAAAAAAAAGCAAAAAAACAGAAAAAAAAAGAAAAAAAGAAAGAAAGAAGAAAAGAAAGAAAGAAAGAAAGAAAGAAAGAAAGAAAGAAAGGAAAGAAAGAAAGAAAGAAAGAAAGAAAGAAAGAAAGAAAGAAAGAAAGAAAGAAAGAAAGAAAAAGAAAGACAGACTTTTCCCAATCTTTCAGTTCTTAAATTTCATGGAACAAATGTTTTCTGTTTATAGGTATTGTGTGTTATATAACATGGTTTGCCAAAATATTACATTCTATACACATATCCACGTTATTTTAAAATCCTTCTGCCTGCAAACAGAAAAATTAAGCTGAGGGCTTACAGGCCACAGGATCTGAACTGAAAATCCATGTCTTGCAGTTTCTAGGTATACACTATTTACCAGCTTAGCCTCTGCACAAATTCAATTGACCCTCCTGAGACGGTTTGGCTGCTGAAGAGATAATAAGAAATCATTAATATTTTTTATAATCTGCAAAATTTTATAATATTTAAGAACACGCTGTCATGGCAATAACTGCTCATGTGAGAGCAGCTCCTAAAAATACTCTTGAATTCTTTATAGGATTAGCATATACGTGATCCCTAAAAGAACCATTTCATAAAGTAGCACTTTTGAGGGCCTCGTGCCAATTCATTAAAGTTTTTGATGCTATAAAATCACTGGAAGAAAGTCTATGTTATGACTAGAGGCATTTCCTTTGCGCTAAAGAGGAATCTAACTCATTGACATGTTCAAACTCTCTTTGCACCCCTGGAAAATCTGATACTTCATAAAATGATGTAGTATGGGCAGTGCCCACACACTGCAATTTTTTATCAACAGCAGGAAACTTTCACTTATTTCTATTAACAGCATCTTGAAAATCAGGTCAGACTTATGGTTTCCAAAATGGCAGATTCATCATTTAACTCAGAATACCACTTTTTCACAATATTCATGGAGTTCTGCTGTCTTATTGCAGGGCAAAGAAAAAAATTAGAGATTTCATTTAAAAATTGGACTCCAAAGGGGTATTCTGATGTTCACCTGGAGCAGCATTATATAATTCAAATGTGATTTTCTATATGCATATATAGTTTCAAAGCAAGAAATATAACCCCATAATAAATCATCGTGAGTGCTTTAGTTGTAAAAAGTTGCTTGCCTGAGCATTGTGTCAGTAGCTTAGTTATGTTCTTCTGGCTGACAGATGTGGAATAGTGTGCAAAGCTAAGGCACTGTCACCATAAGCTTACTCAGCACTTTCCTGGTTGCAAAGTGCATTAAAAGTAGAGCTGTCAAAAAGTATCTTGAGACAAATGCTTATTAATAAGAATTATCAGATCTTGCTGGTTCATGGTGACTCTCATTTTCATTTTGTAGAAGGGCAGTGATTAATGAAAATTCTGCATGTGGGATATGATTAGGGAAGAGAAACCCAGCTTTTCCAATAAAAGCAAGATCTGTCCATACGAGCGACATCAAGGCTGAGCTGTGACTCACCAGCCAGAGAGGGAAGAGTGAGGAATGAAAAAGAAGTGGCTCATCTGTTGGAAGCGAATTGCCGGAAATCAGTGCTCCAGGACTGGATCTGTCATCTACATGATGTATGAGCCTTCAGAGGCAGAGGCAGATGTCTGCTGAAGATACCCACAAATAGCTATTCTAAATTAGTTTGATGGTAGAAGAGCACAACAATTCAGCATTTCAGGACTGCCTAATCACAGCCCACCCACGTGATGATCCTTGGGCAATATCTTTATCGTGAGTCTGCTTTGTTCATCCTGGGTAAAATGGTTTGGAGCAGAAAAGGTCCTGTCAATTCCATACCTACTTACAGGAAGACTGCTGTAAGACAACTACAGTGGTTATACAATGTCTATAGGACTCATTACATGGATGAAGTACACAGCCACACACACTTGTTCTCTGCTGCAAGGCTCAGATCTACCTGAGTTTCGAGGGGTCCTCATTTGACTTCTAAATTTAAAGCATTCCTCTTTTCCAGGCATCTGGAGAGGCAGAAGAATATTGATTTTTACCATGTTTCTCATCAGGAAGACTTGTCCTTCAAGAGATGTGTTTCATGAAACCGCCACAGTACTTAACACCTTTCCCTCAGCGGCTGTTCTTTTGCTGTTCTGCCAGTAAGAAGTAAGATGGAAAATGCAGGAAAAAGAAAAAAAAAATCTCACTCTTCAGGATATGTCTTCTTTAGCAAAGGCAGATCAAGCTTTCTCGTACAAGCTTTGGCACTAAGGGGAGGAGAAGGGCAGAGCTAAATAAGGTTCCCAGGAGCCTGAGCTATGCTGAGAGAGAACAAATTGTACTGACAGGTGACTACTCCTCAGGACTTCATGCATTTTCTGAAGAGGCCACAAAAACCATAGCATCATAGAATCATAAAATCTCAGAATCATAGAATATGTTGAGTTGGAAGGGACCTACAAGGATAATCGAGTCCAACTCCTGGATACACACAGGACAACCCAAAAATCAGACCATGTCTGAGAGCATTGTCCAAACACTTCTTGACCTCTGGCAGCTTGGTGCTGTGACCACTGCCCTGGGGAGCCTGTCCCAGTGCCTGACCACCTTCTGGGTGCAGAACCTTTCCCTAACCCCCAGCCTGACCCTCCCCTGTCCCAGCTCCATGCCGTTCCCTCGGGTCCTGTCGCTGTCCCCAGAGAGCAGAGCTCAGCGCCTGCCCCTCCGCTCCCCTCATGAGGGAGCTGCAGGCCGCCATGAGGCCTCCCCTCAGCCTGCTCTGCTCTGGGCTGAACAAACCGAGTGAGACACCTGACTGAGAAAAATGTATTTTTGTCTCAGATGTCTTCACCCTTTGTAGCCCATGATTCTTCACATCATACATAAATGTCTCTGTCTTTCAAGCACTTGCTCCCTAGGTTTGCAGGGTTCCACCTGCAGACACCCCTTTAATCCCTTTCTTGCCCACTTGAGCTCTCTGTACTGGTCTGAAGTTACGGAATATAGAATATGACCCAAATAATGTAAAAGGTGTATCTACCTATGTACTTTGGTTTTCCTTTTATGAATACAAAGTAGATACTACTCAAGGGGAAAAAAGGAAGGAAAAAAAATATATATATATATTTTAATTTCTTTTCACATTTTAAAGTACAAATACAGTTATTAATAAATTTCTTTGGCAAATAATGTTCTAAGATAATAATTTTGTCCATCTGCTCCCCAAAAACTCACGTGTTCTTCTCCATCACTGTAAAATGTCCATGAAAACTTAAACCTGCAACAGCTCTGTGAAAAGGAAAATATTGTAGGATCTCTTAAAGTGTGTTTGTGTGTTAGAGGGATAATCACTAAATATATACTGGTAAGTAAAAACATCTAACCATAACCTTGTAATACATGTGGCATTTTAAATTAGATTTCATATATTTTAAAGGGATTCTATGGAAAATAGCAAATGCAGATCTCAACATATGATTATGTTTGTCCTGTGAGTATTTGAGGAACATGCAGAAGAAAAGATAATATGCCCAAGAGTGTTTTAATAAAGCTTATTAAATTATACATGTTTATACAGCTGTTTAAAAAGATGTGTAATGCTGATCATCTGCAATGTCACATTTATGTTCGCAGCAATATTAAACCACAGCTAACCAAGTTTTCTCAAATATAAATCTGAATGACAATAGTGACATCGAGTGGTGATCATTGTTAACTGCTACAGTGTATTGCCATGAAACCCCTGCTGATGCCTTCTGTGCTATGACAGTCATAGTCCGGTGAAGTTCCCACTGACTGGAAAAGAAGAAACACAATGATAGTACCAGTTGTATAGACTTCAAACAGAATCATAGAAAGGTTTGATTTGGAAGGTACCTTAAAGACCATCTAATTCCAACCCCCCTCCCACCAGCCCAGGTTGCCCAAAGCCCCATCCAGCCTGGCCTTGAGCACCTCCAGAGATGGGGCATCCACAGCTTCTCTGAGCAACCTCTGCCAGCACCTCACCACCGTCACAGTAAAAAATTTCTTCCTTATATCTAATCTAAATACACTTTTATAATTTAAAGCCATTACCCCTTGCCCTGTCACTACACTCCCTGATAAAGACTCCATCTCCAGCTTTCTTGTAGGCCTCCTCTAGGTAGTGGAAGGGGTACTGTCCCCCCTGAGCCTTCTCTTCTCAATCATACCACCAGAGAATCACAGAATGCCTTAAGTTGGAAGGGATCTTAAAGGTCATCTAGTTCCAACGCCCCTACCATGGGCAGGGACACCACCCACTAGATCAGGTTGCCCAGGGCCTCATCCAAGCTGGTCTTGAACACTTCCAGGGATGGGGCATCCACAACTTCCCTGGACAACCTTCTCTAGGCAACAACCCCAGTTCCCTCAGCCTATCTTCACAGGAGAGATGCTCCAGCCCTCTGATCATCCTTGTGGCCCTCCTCTGGACTCACTCTAATAGGTCCATGTTCTTCTTATGCTGGGAGCCCCAGAGCTCGCAGTGCTGCAGGTATAGAGTAAACATATGTAGTATAGCCTAAAAATAATATAGAGTGTTAAATCATAGAGCATTACTTGTACAAGAACTGTAAAGTGAACTCATAATGAATTTAAACATGTGGTTTAAATTCACAGTCACACATTTTAAACAGAATCATAGAATCACAGAATGGTTTGGGTTGGAGGGGACCTTAAAGCACATCTAGTTCCAACCCCTCTGCCATGGGCCGGGACATCTCCCACTAGACCAGATTGCTCAAAGACCCATCCAGCCTGGCCTTGAACACTTCCAGTAGTGTGTGCTGCAACTGGGTCGGGGCAATCCCAGACATGAGTAGAGACTGGGAGAACTCACTGAGAGCAGCCCTGCAAAGAAGGACTTGGCAGTTCTGGTGGATGAAAAGCCCAACATGATCCAGCAGTGAGCGCTTGCAGCCCAGGCCAACTGCATCCTGGGCTACATCAGCAGAGGAGTGGCCAGCAGGGTGAGGGAAGTGATTGTGCCCCTCTGCTCTGCCCTCATGAGGCCCCACCTGAAGTGCTGCGTCCAGGTCTAGGGCCCCCAGCACAAGAAAGACATGGACCTGTTAGAGTGAGTCCAGAGGAGGGCTACAAAGATGATCACGGGGCTGGAGCACCTCTTCTACAAAGAAGGGCTGAGAAAGTTGGGGCTGTTCAGCCTAAAGAACAGAAGGCTCTGGGGTGACATTACTGCAGCTTTTCAGTACTTAAAGGGGGCTTATAAAAAGATGGGGTGCAACTTTTTGCTCAGATAATGACAGAACAAGGGTGAATCGTTCTAAACTAAAAAAGGGGAGATTTAGATTAGAGGTTAGGAGGAAATTCTTCACTCAGAGAGTGGTGAGACACTGGAACAGGTTGCCCAGAGAGGTTGTGGATGCCCCATCCCTGGAGGTGTTCAAGGACAGGTTGGACAAAGACCTGGGCAACCTGGTCTGGTGGGAGATGTCCCTGCCTATGGCAGAAGGTTGGAACTAGATGATCTCTAAGGTCCCTTCCAACCTGAGTCATTCTATAATTCTATGATTAGTCATGCACATAAGCACTCACCAGGGTGGAGCTATATGCTTGTCTTTTTGCAAGGCTGAGAAAATGTCACCAGACAGCAGCAGGAGGGTAAAGACCAGTAGTCAGGGATGCAATGAACAGTGGTGGTTATTTAGGGTGCTTACTGAATCCACATAATTTTCATAATCTGTTCTTTGTTTTGTTCTTCACTCCCCTCCCAGTGCTCATGACCACAGCATGACAGAACTTCTACTAAAATTCCCCAACTTCTTCAGTTCTCTATTACTATTTTTATTTCTGCACTTAAAAGTGCCATTTCCTCCTTTCTGGCTTTACTGCTTACATGTTAGGGCTGTAGCCTTAGCTGTGAGAGCAGATACCTTCTCTAAGTGCTCTGGCCATTTCCATCAATAAAGCAATAAATCATCTGGCTTATTTATGCTTTGCGTGACACCAAAACAGAGCTGCTGCAAATGTATCCAAAAGCTTAGAAGCAGGCCTCTGCTCAGTGACAATAAAAATACAGTCTCATCCAGTGCTCCAAAAATGTTGAATGATCACTTTTTTCAAAAGACTGTAGGTACCTCAGGTACTGAAGAGGCTGACAGTGGTCAGGCAGACACAAGGCATAAAACAACAAATTGTAGAAGAGTAAGGCTCTAGAGGAAAGAGGTCTATAAATATCTTAGGGGAAGACACAAAGAAGATGGAGCCATGCCCTTTTCAGTGGAGCTCAGTGCCAGGACAAGAGGCAAAGGACAAAAATTGGAACACAAGAGGTTCTGTCTAAACATCAGGAAGCACTTCTGTTACGTTGGGATTGGACCAGATGATCTCCAGAGGTCCCTTCTGACCTCAACCATTCTGTGAATCTGTGAACCAGCTTCCTCAGAATACTTCCCAGAATGTCAATACTACTGTGTAAATCTCAGTTGTTTTCTTGGCCAGCATCTACAATATTTTATTGATGCTTTTATGCTGAGGATGAAAAGGATTCCTATCCTACATATTTCCTCAGGCATTCTATCTTTGTTTTGTCTGTATGTAAACCACAATTTCCACAGCATAAATTCTGTCATTTTGAAGGTCATGTTATAAACTAATTTTGGGTTGATGCTCTTAAAACTCATTCTTTAGAAAACTTTTATAAATTTATTTTCTCGGAAATTTGCAGAGACATGGCCCTACACTAGAGGTTTTATTTATTGAAAATATTTACATAGGAACATACCTGCAGTTTACTGAACCTGACAAAATTTCTTTCCCATTAAAGACCACAAGGTGGCATGTGAAGCATGCAATAAGCACACTAGAAAGACTAGAAAGGCTGCAGTAGAAAACGTGTGAAGTTCTATCGAGATGAGCATTACCTGAAAATTCAAGCAATTTACAAAGCAGTCTAAATTGGGGGGGAGAAAGGGGAGGTGTTGTGTTTTCTAGTCCAATTTCCTTACATTGGAAAAGAAATGAAGTGCACGGGTCTTTTAACAACATGACAGTCTGTTGCTGAAGGAATTTCCATCGTCAGTTCAGAAGTTTGTAAATACACCTGAGATAATTCAAAGAGCATCCAGAATGACTGCTGGAAGAAGCTCTGGAGCAAACCTAGCTCCCTGAAAAGTTTCTTTCCAATATAAAAGTATATTTGGACATTCTGAATTGGGTCTTGTTATCCACAAGGAAAATTCAGAACAATCTATAAACGTAAGAAAATTTGTTCCATGATTTCCATTCAACAGCCATAAGAACTGAACAAACCATAGAGTAAGCAATTATAGTGTGGTAAATCTTCATTTTAATGGAAACTCCATTAAAAGTTTTTGTTGTTTTTTGTTTGTTTGTTTTGTATTGTTGTTGTTGTTTGGTTTTTAACCATAAATTATATTTTAAAAGCAGCAAAATGACTTCTGCTTTTATTGTGCTACACCATGGAAGGTCTGAGCTTGTTCACACTGATGTCTCGTTGAGTACAGTGAAATATCTTTCACTTATGCATGTCTGAATTCAGCTGATTCAGCAGAAATCTTCTGGATGACTTAAAGCTGTGAGGGTGTTAACTATTAGGAGCCATTGTTGGGGTGCCTTCTTTTCATATATTTCATCCGAGATGACAACACCACATTTGACCACTACCAACTAAGAGTGTATTATGTTGACACGTCTAGTTTTCTCAATTGTACTCCAGAGAAAGACCTTTATTTGAAAATCATTTCAAATGCATGCCCAAAACAAACAAAAAAATGTCCTTCTGTCCCAACCAAACTACCATCCCAGCCTGTCTGCAGTATGTACCTGTATGATGGTCAGCTCTTGTAATTCCAGGTCTATTAGATCCCTGTGGGCATTCCACATGATGGCCAAGTGTCAGTAAGCTGGTGGAAGACCCCTGCACAAAATCCCCACATGCCCTGGCCAGGGGACTTGGCAAGGACTCATGCTCATACATAAGCTTTCAGGCAATTTGAACTTGTATGATTCCAGGCAATTTGGACTTGTAGGACTGGAGTTTGGTACTCTGTGTATGCGGGCTGAAAAATGGGGTCCCAAGTTAATATCTGCTTTATATATATGCTGTTCATGAATATATTCCCTCTTCATTTTTGTTGTTAAGATCTTTTCCTTGGATTTAACCTCTCCCATACTGTTATATTTGTGCTGAAAATATGCTTTACATATTCTCAGATGATACATGCTAATTAAGTATACAAACAGGAAAAGAGGGCCATGTGTTTATGCCTGAAAACCAAGGAAATGATTAATACAGTTGATTCACTTTTCCTTACTATAAATTCCTCAGCATAATGGCACATAGGTATCATTTCTAAAAGCCATAGACCTTCAGTAGAATAGTCATCAGGAATCACCTGCTCTTAAATGAACGAGAATGATCTGCACCTACTAACAAGATGACTAAGGCTTGGATTATCGGGGAATGCTGAGGAATGTTGTAGTCAACAAACATCAGAGATTTTATGTCTCAAGACAAGGAAAGGCAAGGAGAAAAAGAGAAAAGAGAAAAAGGAAAAGAAAAAAGGAGAAGAAGAGAAGATTGTTAGCATAACCATTAGCTTTATATAAGTAAAATAACATTTCATTAAGTGAAAAAGTACATATTGGAAATATGAAAAAGGACAATAAGTGATAAAGGGCATATTGGAAATGGTTCAGAATCATAGAATTTGGACAAGATTTGAACATGCTCAAAGCCTGAAGGGTTTCAAACCTGGAGCTGGGAATGGGGGTGGATGCTTCCATTAAGAATTCGGTCTTGTACAGCACTAAACATGCTCAATTCTAATTTTAGATACCAATAAGCTGCATCTTAATTTGATTTCAAGGTGCATAGGTGCATTTTCAAATAAACATAATTTTTTACCCTTATTGAAGGGCCAACACAGAATGTAAACAAAGCAAATGCAAATGTTTAATATTTTCAGCCCCTACTTCACCAGCTTGTTCTACGCACCCACTTGATTTTTTGGTCTTCTCCAGTCTTGTAGTAATGAATGTTATCCTTGATGACTCTGTCATGACTGACAGCTTGACAGCTATTTGGAGAGAACTGTAGCTTCCCAAGTGGCAAGACAAAGCTCCAGCAGATTATGTACTTCTGGAAACTGTAATTACCGACCTGGGAGATTTTTGGCACTCTACAGTGTTTTGCATGAAGTTTCCAGCACTTGTGTAATAGTTTGGATTTTAAATGAGAGAAAAGGAGGAAAAAAGACACAAATTTTGTTCCAAGGAATTGCTGAAAGTAATTTTTCCAGTTTGCTATTGGCTTATATCATTATTAATTTTTAGCCACCTTCTGTGTGAAACATCAAGAACACTGGCATTTGAGACTGAAAATCATAATAAAGGTTAAAACCCAGAGGCAGAGGGGCAGAAGTTGAAGCATTTGAGGATATACACCACCTAAGTAACAATCATAGCATGATCCTGAATGTAGGAGACCAGATTAGCATAGATTACTTGTGTTAGTAAATTCAGAGTTGTCAAGGAATGCTCCCAGGCACTCAGACTGCTGTCAGAAGATTGATCTATTACAATAATCCCTTGTGGCTCACTAGAAATACCATTCTCCTAAGCAATACCAATGCTTCAGGTGTTAGAGACAGGAACTGTTCTTAATAGACATTTTTGGTGCAGGTTCTCTTTTGGATGTGTGAAAGTCATCCCACACGAGCTGGCCTTGGCGTTAAGAAATGGTCCAGGGCACGTTCCATTTATTAGCATGGGTGCAGTTATGAGGAGACCTGGGCTCCATTTGGCCTCGGAGAATCCAACACAGCACATGTTGAAAAGGCTTCAGAGAAGGAATTACCACAGTGTTACTGTCTAGGAAGAGGGCTGGCATCATAAAACTGGACAGATCCCACAAGCAACAGGAGAAAAAGGAAGTCTAGGTGATAATAGCAAAATAAACAAACAAAACAAGCAAAATGATTCAAGAGTGGGGTGGCTTTTTCAAACTATTAGTGCTGAAAAGAAATACCATTTGTCTTCAAGACAGCTCCTGAGTTTATCCTGACATTATACCTGGGACTTGTCATCACCATATGGGCACCACCACAGCTGGAACACAGCATGGAAATAATGGGTGACTCAGAACTATTGTTCTCCCAAGGGCTCCCTCCCTCCAAACTGCTAAGAAAAGCTCAGAGCAGCTCTGCCCCTTTGCTCAGTCAGCTAGGTAGTATCGACATGTTGCAATAGCTGGGTACATGTACTTTCATGCAGATCTCTTCATGTAAAATTGTGTAAACAATCACCTAAAACAATATGCAATAGCTTCCAAAAGAATTCAGATGTTCTGCCATTCAGGCACAGCCCAGCTTATGCCTGGCACGTGCTAGCAAGGAGGAGTGAAGGCTGGTCTGAAACCACAGAGGCGATTGCAAAAGGTATGGGCTTCCACGGTGCTCCCCTGTTGTCACACTCATTAAAAACAGATCTGTGCATGTGTACCACTATATTGCCAGGGTGACAGCAGGCAAAGCGATCCCAGCCAGAAACTGAACACACAACATTTTGTTTTGGAAGATATCAGGACTGGAAACATTTTATCTCATTGATAAGAACAAGCACAGCTGAAGAAGTCAATACCAAACTCCTTTATTCCTTGTATGTGGGTAGTACAAAACATACCGAAATATTTTGAAGAGAAAATACTCCTTAAACAAACCTATTATAAAACAAATATACATTCTCTTTTCATTTAAAAGCCTGTTAAATAAGCATTCTCTTTTTATTTAAAGGCTGTAAACACCACAAAAAGCAAGGACAAAGATTCCGATATTACTGAATGAAAACGCATTTTCTGAAACATAATCCTTTATTCAACCCTAAATATACATATAAAATTCAGAACCTGTGAGTAGATAAGAGAAAAATAGCATCTGTTTCTCAAGTGTTTCTGACTATTTAATAGGTAATGAGGTCTGTCATGCTTAAGTCCAATAGCCAAAAGTTTAACGAGCAATATAATGGCAAAGTACAGAAGTCCATGTTCTGACTACTGCCACGCTTCTCTGTTACTTCATATGCTCATCTAAATAGTTTTATCTAAGTGATACAGATTAGTGTACTTAAGATTAGCATTTTCCTGTCCTCAGGTGAGTCATATGCAATACATCATGATAATGGATATTAAATGTTAACATGTTCACAGAAAATTGCATTAGTGACCCGAGTAAGTGTTTAATTATCTTCATAAGACATAGTCATTTCTGCTACATGATTTTAATCATTTACCACTTACTTTTTTTACTACCTTGCTAAAAATACAGCAGCTTGCTATACACATCTCCCCAGACTTTGTGGGCCAGATAACAAGTCCATTTTACTGGGCCTGCCATTTTAAATCCTGCCATAAAATCCTACTTGCAAAGACCCTGCCACTTAAATCCTGCCATTATCCTACTTGCAAAGTACCTGTAAATACCACCACCAAAAAAAAGTAGTAATTAAAAAACAAAAACAACAACAACAAAAATGAGAAGTTCGATACTTCTTAAATCATGACAACGAATTTTTTTTTTATTACAACACTAATCAAGGTATAAGGAAAAATACAATAAAATACCCTGTTTGTTCTGGATCTTCACTTATCTCACTATCTGTGTGGAAATTCCCATGTGAAGAAGCAAGGCAGACCACAGACTTCTTCAGAATGCAAATGATCAGTGGGAATTCTCACAAATATTCAGCAAGTTAAAAGCTCAAGGAAGAAACCAAGAGGCAGCTGCTTCTTTGCTCCATGGCCTAAATACTCTATCATTTAGAAACAGTATTTAACAAAAGCGTCAGTTTTATCCAAAAGCTGATCTACCCTGAGAAGCCCACATGAAGAGGTATCCTGTCTATAGGCACAGTGAAGGATTTTGAGACTTCTCTTTTAGTATCACTGAGCACCTTTTCATTATTATGTCCATTAGATAACAAGCAATGGGAAAGGCAGAGCTTGCTGCACCAGGTCATTTATCACCTGACACAATGAGACAGATGGTGAATTACGGATTACGTCACCTCCTCATTCAAATGTGGCAGCAGCACTGACAGAAACAGTGTAGACTTAATTAGGCTAAAAAAAAAAAAAAAAAAGGTTATTGCATTATTGCATAAATAATGTATTAAAAGGTTATTATCATATATACTAGCAGTTGTTTTTATTAGCAGTTGTTTTATTATTTATGCATCTTCTCTATTGCCAACTGCACATTTTCAAATCACAGTTTAATGGGCTTGTGTTTGCTAAGGGCCTCTACAATAACAAGCAAATCTGTTCTGACAGCCAGCCCCAGGAACTGGAGTAAAGCACCAACCTACTTTTCCTCCCCGGTCCCATGCTCAAGACCTAAATCCTGACCTTCTTTACCCTGAGGTTGTTCAGATAGAAATAATCAAGTTAATTTACCCAGAATGTTTACTTGCTTGCTGCTCTAGAACTTCCTACAGATTTAAATACCTCACATGGTTCCAGTGTACCAGGGTAGAAAATACCAGAGCTTAGAGACAGATGTGCTTAAGTTTCTTCTAGGTAAGCACTGCATCCCACTAACAACATTTGATGGGAATACACAAATTGGACTGGCACAAGCAGCTTCAACACACATTACCTCCAGAAGTCCAGTCCCATCGCACTTTTCTTCTCTAAGACCACGTGCTGGGTAAGTCCATCGCACATTTGTTCGTCACTGACAGGCGTTGTATGTCCTGCACAAGCAAAGTCTGAGGTGCTGCTATGGTTGCATAAGCAGATATGTGGAGTTTTACTTGAAAATGTTTATTTTCTCAGTCTTCAGCACATTCAGAGAGTAGAAGCTAACTGAAGTCCATCATGCAGTAACTGATTATCCTTAAATCTGCTAAAGATTTTTCCTGGCGGTCACTTGGCATTTACTGCAAAAAGGGACTCTTGATTACATTTAGAGAAACCGAAGTGATTAAGTTAAAAATCAGTAGCAAAGGAAACAAAAAGGTTTAGAATTTTTTACATGTAATAAACTGCTGAAACAAGTTAGGTCTTGTATTGATTGAGACAAACAATTATAAAGGTATTTCTCAACAGTGGTTAAAACTGAGTGATTAAAAGGAAAATCAACTGCATGTATTGAGACTGAGCATAATGAAAGTCTTTCAGGCACAAGGCCATGAACCGATTTATGGTTGGAAACAAAGTCAACAGGTATTGTTACACAGCTATTCTGTAAGCCATTACAACATAGATTCAAAGACAATTGCACTTGTTAATCTAAAAATCAGGACACCACAGACAAAACTTCCATTGATACAAGATGTATTTGAGTTTTGCAGCCATTAACAGTTTCAGCAGAATTTCAAAGGAATGATTTAAAGATTTATTTTGGAATTACTTTGTATTTTAGCTGCAATTTATGCCACTTCACTTGAACAATGAAAATTTAAGCCAGTTATGATGTCATTTAAGTTATCTGACAAAATGAATCTAAATTTACTAAAGGAAAAAGAAGGGGGTTTCCAGAAGCAGCGATATTCTGATACTGAATACTCTGATTTTTCCCTTGGTAGCCAGCCTCTCGTTTTGGGAACTCCGAGTCACCACTTTATCTTCTTCAAACTTCTGTTTTAGAGTGTCCACAAAACAGGCAGCTCACCACAGAACGTGAATCACACGACTCTTCTTCCCCTTCCACCCTTACCGGCAAGTTTGTCTTCAAGCTCTGACAAAATTCCCAAGGACCTGTAGAAAGCAGCAACTGGCTACTTACTCCCGTTAGGCGTCCTGTTTTCATATGGTATCTTTAAATTTTTAGCGTAGTGATAATCATAATCTCTTAATGGGAAATAGCTTATGTATGGAGTTACAGAGGGGCTCTGTAGCACATGCTCACTGTGTATGTCCATTGCATGTCATTTTCTTTAGGAAGCAAAATCTCTTTTATATAACAAAGCCAACATAGGATGACAACTAGAACTACTGACATGGTAAATACAGAAAGGCATATATTTATATCAATGTCTAAAATTTACGTATTGCAAACATTGCATTGAAATTATACTTCTGCATAATCACCTAGTGTGCCTGAAAGATACAGACCAAATGAAAGCTGAAAACAGGACACTTCAGGACTTGCTTTATTTGCTTTTTGGCACAGGCTGCCCAGAGAAGCTGTGGATGCCCCATCCCTGGAGGTGCTCAAGGCCAAGCTGGATGGGGCTTTGGACAACCTGGCCAGGAGGGAGGTGTCCCTGCCCATGGCAGGGGGCTGGAAATAGGGGATCTTTAAGGTCCCTTCCAACCCAAGCTGTTCCGTGATTCTACAACTCTATGGGCTCTAGGCCTAAATAGAGAACTGAGAAATAATTGCCATGCCTCCATCCACACACTGTGACATATCACCCAGTATCACAGCCTGAAAACTTGGCTTCTTTCCCTCTTTCTCTGCTCCCTACCCACTACGGGGCGAGAAGAGGGCAGGTGAGAGCCGCACACAGCCCGAGGTCCATCCACGTTAAGGCGAGCCCCCTGTTAGAAGGGTGGCTGTGAAACTGCCCCTTCTCTGGGGAAAGCCACAGACTGCTAATTCCGAAATAAATCACTTTTAACGAAAAACCTGACTCGGTGCCCGAGCCGTGCAGCACCTTCCCGCTAACCCTCACGTCAGGTTACCTCAAACCGCGCGGGCAGGGCCGGCGATGGCTTTCTGGAGATTTCGGCTGTGCCTCTCCTTGTATCGCCGCTGTCGCGATAAATCCCCGCGGAGGGGGCCTGACCGCTCTCCTGGGGGAAGCCGCTCCTCGGCGGGGAGGCGGGCCGGGGTGTGGGGGGAGGCGGGGAAGGGCGGCGAGACGAGACGAGCCGGGGCGGCCGTGCTGGGGCGCTGTGGGCTCCGCAAGCTCCTGGCCGAGACACGGCGTGGCCGCCCCCGGCACCCCACGAGCAGCACGGAGCCGGCCCCGGCCCTGGAACCGGCCGAGGATGAACGGCGGGGAGGGCGGCGGTGGCCGGGCGGGCGCCATCAGCTGCTCCCTGCCCGCCGTCCCCTCCAGCAAGCTGCCCGACCTGCGCTTCCTCAGCCGCGGCGCCTACGGCACCGTGTCGGCCGCCCGGCACGCCGACTGGAGGGTCCCGGTGGCCCTCAAGTGCCTGCAGGGGCCGCTGCTGGACAGGTAGCGGGGCGGCCAGGGGGGTTTGGGGGTTGGGGGGGGTTTGGGGAGGGTCCGGGGGGACATGGGGGGAGCGGCGGGGCCGCCCCAGCCCGCGCGGTGGGGGGACGTGGGGCGGCCCCGCTGCTTCCTCCCCTTGGGGTGCTGAAGGGGGTGGTGGTGGTTTCGCCCCAGGTCTGTTAAATATGTTAAATATCGGGTTTGTAGACCCCTACATACTGCTGGTTTTCACTGGTTCGTCAGCTGGTAGCGATCGCGTTCCCTTTTCCCGGGGGTCAGGTGGCAGCGCGTTTATGGCCGAGCTGTCACCCCAGCAGCAGGGAGCAGCTTTCCAGCTGTTTCTGCCTCCTTCGCTCTCTGTAATGCCATTTTTGAACCATATCGATGCTAGTTTGCCTCTCCTTAGGGTGTAGCCTCCTGTTTTTTCTGTAGGTGTCTTTCATCTTTGCTGCCTCAGGTTTTTTTGATCCGGTGTCAGGCAGACAGGCGGCTGAGACACACGGGTGTACGTGTGTGCTTGTGAGCTTGCACACTTAAACCTATGGGACGTGGGTGTAAAAACGTGTCGGCTGTTCCTCAGTTCACAAATTTTTGGGGTTTGGTTTTCAGAAAGGTTACAAGCTAGCCCAGAAGACGTCCCAGAAGAAATGCAGTGTTTGTTCTCTGAACTCACTTGGGAGAACACAGTAAATACTACTTTTAGCCTTGCTGGGATCTAGATCAGTGTGACATCTAACCTGTGAAAACTTGACAAAAAAAGGCAACCAGGGTAATCAAAACCACTCAGATTAACAACCATATACCATGCAAAGCTCAGAAGTACTGTAAGAATAACCAAAAGCTGCAGTAAACCTGCGCTGTGTCTGCAGTAAGTTGTGGGTTGTACTGTAGGCAGTGTAACATACCATCCTGAAAAAGCTGCCGTGAGGACGGAAGGCCAGAGAGTTGACGGTGCAGTTAATCCTTCCAACCAGGAAGCCTGTGCTGCGTATCGCAGAATTTGGCGTGCGACCTGCCCAACAGCAAGGCAGCCTGGGAGCCGCTGTGGGCTCCTGCTGGTTTAGGCATTGCTCAATGCCCCTCTGGTATGGAGCAGGCAAAGGTGAAGTGACATAGAGGCGCAGGAATAAACCTCTGCGTGTTGCAACTCCTTTCCCGGTTACAGCAGAATCCCATGCAGATGGGATGCCTCATGGTCTGGGAAAACCCCTAATTTTTCTCAAACCTATTTTTTACTAGAGAGAGGGAGGGAGCCACATGTTTTGTCCCATGCTTTTCCTGAAGACTGACTTCTTACTTTGATCACTACCTAGAGTTTCCCAAAACAGAAGCTTTTTTCCATCACAAAAAACAGGACCAACAAGCAGACTTGATTTAACATACCACTAAATTCTAACTTTCGCTGTCATAAAAGCAGCAGGCTTTAGTTCTCTAGGCTTCCATTTTTCCCCATATATTCTGAAGTCCTTTTCTTTGCGAGGGCTACATCTACACTGAGCAGTCCACATCCCTCTGGACCCGTCGGTCTGTGCTCTGAGCTGGATGGACACAAAGCAGCTCTCACCTGGGAGCCATATCACCAGGTTGATAGGGTGCTGTGCATGGACTTGGCTTGAATGCTGCCTTGGCCCAGCACAGCCATACAGCTGCTGAATCAGGCTGGCTCATGCAACAGCTCAGCCTTAGATGTGCTGTAAAAGTCCCGTGTTTGGTTATCCTGCACGTGTACTTGTACCTGTACCAGTCCCCATTGGTGTAAAGTCTAAATCTTTTATTATTTTTTTCTTAGGCTCCTTCGTGGTCTGAGTATGCTCACTGTGGGATGTTTGAGATATACGTTCTTTGAGTTATAATATACCATTTGAGATATTTTATATTTCAAATCATACTATATGCAAAAAAATCTTTTTCCATTTGCAGGGATAGAAGCACACTTATTTTTTAATATAACTTGACCCTCACATACCATATGCTACAATGTCTGAAGTTGTAAAGATGCATCAAATTCAAACCTATGAGGAGATTTGGCAATAACAAAGGGCATTCACACCACCAAATTCAGGTGTTGGTCTCTCTCTGCCCCCCGTGCAATCAGTGTTTTTTTTTTTCCCAGAGGGTAATTCAAAGCAGGAGCCAAATTTGAAGGAACAATTTACACAAAAACATAACATAGCTGGTCCTTCCTTTTCCTTCAGAAGGTGAAGGTGTATCCCTTTAACCAGTATTGTTTTAGTGCACACCAGCGTCCTCTAAGTTAAAATAGTGGAAACTCACAAGATAAGTATTAAGATCTCTACTCTGTAGGAGGTAAATAGTGGGCCATAGTGGACACTCACTGTCTGAAGACGGACAGTAAAACAGGCCAGGTGTAGTTGGTTGTTCCTGTTCTGGTTTCTCAGGATGGTGCCAGCTGGAGTTCTGACTGTATCCTTATTTACTGGAAACATGGGTGAAATGTGTTGTGGAAATAGAGATACTTGCATAGAAGAGCAAAAGTAGGGAAGTTGTTTGGTATTTGCAGATTCTGAGTTGTCTTATAGCAAGCATCTTGTTATCAAAGCACAGTACAGAAAAAATACTGAAAGATGGTGGTGCTGCATATAGATAAATTTATTTTTTTTAACAGAATATAGGGAAGCTTACATTTGGTTGGAGTTTCCTAGTAATGGTATGGTAACCTTCTTTCTTTGTTTCTTTTATTTTCTTTTTATTTAAGTGATAGAAACCACCTTCTAAAAGAAGCAGAGATACTGCACAAAGCCAGGTTTAGTTACATTCTGCCAATTTTGGGAATTTGCAATGAGCCTGAATTTCTTGGGATAGTAACGGAGTACATGACTAATGGATCACTAAACGAGCTTCTACATGGGGTAAGTGTACTCAAAGTCATTAAATTGTCCCTGATTGTTTTAAATAGACTGTGATTTCCATACTTAAGGGAAGTAGTATAGTAAAGTTTATTATTAGTAATACTTAAAATTAAAGGACAGTCACTGGTAGTTTATGTTGCTCAGATGGACTTCCTGTACCCCCAAAGGGCGACCAAACTCAGTAGTCTTTATTTATATTGCACTTTTTCCTGTAATGCTGTAATCTATAACAGGCTAAATGATGAATTATTGTGTAGAATCATGTTTAGTATCTCAGTTGTTCTGTAGTTAGAAGCTGAAATACTTGTGCTTACTTTAATCTGGCTTTCAGAGCTGTTGACAGTGTAAATATCACAAAAAGATTACTTTGTTTCCTGAATTTAAATCTTTACTTAAAAAAAAAAGAAAAAGAAAAAATAATGTTTATAGAAGTCAAATATTGCTAATCTAAACAGATACAGATATTTCTACCAGGTCTTACTCTCAGGAGTAATTTCTCCTGTGCTGAAACGAACTCAGCTGCTGCAATTAGGCTGGTCCAAGCTAATGTAAAGCTACTGCAGCTGTGTATCAATAGCACTGCAGTCCCTTCTGTACCCTTAATCAGTACCTGCCTATGCCTTAAAGAGCTCAGCTCTGTATTTTACCCAAATACAATAGTGTTTAGGTAACTTTTAAGATTTGAGTTTCCCCGCTTTTTTGCTGTACTTATATTTCTAAATGTAGTGTTCTGTGCTTAGTTTTACCGTTTTTTTTCCCGAATGTTAGTAGCAGGTATGATTTGTGTCTTTCTTTGTGCAGTACTCATAGGTCGTGGTTTACAGGTTTCGTACAGTTCATCTGTAACTCATATTTCCATATGAGTAATTATGAGTAATGCGGTAAATGTCCTATATACAAATTATGTATAGCAGTCATGAACTGTATGAATGTTAGGGGATTGGAAGTGTAACATCATAACATGCATGATTAATATTTATATATTTGTTTTAACAGCTAGCCAGTATCAATGTGCAGTTAATGTAATATATGTTTTAAAAGATTACTGCTTGTCCAACTCACTTTCTTATTATTATGAAAGCCTTTGTGTTATCTTGTCAGATCAGAACAGAGGATTATATTCTGGTTTTGTGGTTTTATTTTGGCAGAAAGATATGTATCCCGACGTTCCCTGGTGCCTGAGATACCGCATTCTTTATGAAATTGCTTTGGGAGTAAACTATTTGCACAACATGAATCCTCCATTGCTGCACCATGACTTGAAAACCCAGAATATTTTGCTGGATGATGAGTTTCATGTCAAGGTAGAGTTATTTAATTCTTATGTTTTTCAGCATCCAGAATGAGCCAAAGTGTTTAATTGCTTTGAGAATTTAATTACTTTGAGGGAGAAGAGTGGGGTTGTTGCCATGCAGAAGGGACATAGCTGTATGCCAGATGTTTGATTTTTATCTTTGCAGAAAGAACTTACAAATTCTTTGGAAAGCTCTGTTTTGTTCAAGTGTGGATTTCTGATCCATCTAAACACAGACTAGAACTCCAGAATATGCGCTGTTTCCGCTATAGCAGTGTTACTCAATAGCAGTGACGCTTTCTGATGACGGCCTCCCACGAGTAGCTATGTCTGGCCCTTTCTGAGGAGAAAATAGAAAGTTTTGAGATGCTCAGGCAAGTTAGTTCTCAAGGTCAGAAAAAATGAACTCTAATGTTAACACCATTTGATGCTTATCATTTAAAATGCACGTTTATTCTGTTAGTGTAGTATAAGAACATGTAAAACAACTTCAAAATCTGAACATGCTGAGATGGGTCTTTTGATGCTGCTAGAACAAGCAAATATACGTGAAGAAGTAAGAAGTTTAAAACTTGCATTCTGTCTTTCAAAATATTATTGCCATGATGTGAAAGAGACTAAAAGTACTTCTGACAAAACGGTTAGGTGATTCTATAATTGCAAGAGATCTTCTGTTAATGAAAATAACAAAAATTTAAGCTTTGTTTTCCCTTCAGATCCTCTGTTTTTTACACTGGTAGAATGTACTATTCATGTACACGAGAAATAAGAGATACATTACACTTAATTTAATCTTGATTGGCTGCTGCTTCAGTTAACATGAAATGAATCCATCGATCATTTGAGCAAAGATCAAAGATGCAGTGTTGATTTTCTTCTTTCTCCCTTGCAAAGACATTTTCCTTGGCAGCAAGGCAGCTTACGCAGCATTCTCTTCACTCACGCCCTCAGCAGCTCATACCTCCTCCCACTCAGCTGTGCCAGTGTCACCATCTCTAGAGCTTCCTGATAAACCTGACTGGGAACTGGCCCAAGTAATCCACGCTTTTTTTTTTTTTTTTTTTTTTTATAGTCTAGCAGCACTGGTGCGGTCTGGTTCACTGCCTGACCACATATAAACAGTTGCTTTGCTAGAGTAATTGGAAGGAAGGTTTTTTTGGGCTGAAGCACAGTTCTCTAATTTAGGACAGCTGGCAAGAATTGCAAAAAAGGAAGTCACATGTTCTAAATAGGAAAAGTATTGTATGTGTATAAAAGCAACACCATTCATAGAGTGCTTCCAACTGTATCAGATCAACTGAATGAACAAGATAACCTGACCTGTAACAGCAAGTTCAGTGCATGAGTTGTAAAGAAAACAAGGGCATTGCTTATACTCTCCAGAAAGCTTATTTCTATTACGTTAATTGCTCACACAGGCATCTCTGAAAATTATTTTGTTCTGATACAAATGCTGGGCAAGTCCAGAGCTCATTGCTGCCTACATACATATCTTTCTCCCTTGTATGCTGAACACTGCAGGTCCACCAGCAGTCTTATTCTCCTGGCTGTGCATCTCCCTGCCTGTAACCTGGTCTGACATCCTGCTCCTGCCTGGTGTATGTCTGGGAGTGTTAACTAAGTCAGTTAATTCTTGATGTAGTTGTACTGTAAACTCTGTAGGAAAGGACAAGGAGACTATTTTGGGATGGCCCCAGAGGTCACAATAAACAGAATATTTGGTGACTTTTTGCAGCACTGAATTTCAGAATACCAAATTTGTTAATCTGAGATTAATGCTTCATAGTTCTGGGGATGAGGTGGGCTGTCCTGAAATTGTTTTTGTACAAGCAACTGTCCCAGAATATGTGCAGGCTAAGTTACATAGAGCTATTACGATCTTTATTAACTTTGTGCAATCTAGACAGCCAGTGAGCTGGAAATAGTGTCTTGGTTTGCTTATTTTCCGTGAAAGAAAGTGATTTTCATATAGGACAGGCTTCCGCCATGGATTTTCCCAGCCACAGAGACGTGAATCCATCCTTAAAAGAACAACAGGACAGGGCAGTGCTGTAGGAATAGTGTGAGTCATGAACTGGGAATGTTTTCTGCACTGGAGCGGGTGTTTCCTGTTGTTAAGACAACCACATACTTTTTATGTGTCAGGTTAAGGATTTTAAACAAGCTGTTCTTTCAGGTGTATTTGAGGAATTTGTAACAAGGGTTAACAGATAAATCCAGTTCTTAGAACAGCTGCTCTGTCCTTTCCAGATTGCAGATTTTGGCATGTCAAAATGGCGTGTCATATCCATGTCGCAATCACGCAGCGAAACGTCCTTGCCAGAAGGAGGGACCATCATCTACATGCCACCTGAAGATTACAATCCCAGTCAGAAAACCCGGGCAAGTGTGAAACACGATATCTACAGGTAACCCATGTTGTCCTCAAGGGGACTTTGCAATCTGAATCAAATCTGAGTTGCTTAAATTAAGTTTTAACATGTTCTCAGCAATTTTATTATTTTCAGTGATGTTGAAAGTCTAAGCAAAATAAATCAGGAAAAAAAGAATCAATTGGTAGGTGGAATTGTTGATCACCCATTTCTCTAGGAAACGCTGTGAGAAGTGTAATACTCCAGAGTTTAAACTAGAAAGAGAGCTTAAACTGTGTAAAGAGACAGAGGAGACTGCTTCCTTTGAATGAGAGTATATACGTGCAGGCAATGTAGGGAGGAAAAAGATGTTCACTCCATTACCTTGATTAACATGCCTTTGTACTTTGTGTGTATCAATTAACATATTGGCAAAATGTACTGTGAGGAAAGAAGAAAAATGTTGTTTGTTTGTTTGTTTTTTTAAAGGGGTTAGAAAAAACAGGGTAATGGGGTTGAAGGAAGTGTAGAGATCTCCTGTCTCTCACTATCTCCAAATAGAGATCTACTTAAGGAGTAGCTTACTTTATGAATGTTCTGGTGGATTTGGTTCAGTCAGTTCTGAGTCATAGCTGAAAGTAGCAGAGTGGTGGCTACCTGTTTAAAAACAGAAATGGCTTTTAGGATATTAAGAGTTATGATCTGCTAATTTGAAGACGTTCAGAGAGCTCAAAGGTTATTTGAGCAATTGTGGAAGGAATTATCATACATAGATGGAGATTTAGGAAGTATGAAGAGACATACCACTGTGACAAAGTCCATCTGTGTTGCGCTTTACCATCTTTAGTTTCAGCTATCTGTGACAGGGTTGTGTTTTGGTGGAAGATAAATCAGCCTCGGAGGGACTTACTGACATCCAGAGAGACCATTATTTCTTTAAATTATCCCTTTACTCTTGAGGAGCACACAAAGTTCTTTGACATCCTGCTTTCATCACCCTAGACATTGAAAAGGAATACCAATGTATTATGGAGAAAGAAGTAGCAGTGTGAAGTTTATCTAATCTAGCTTCTGATTTTAGAGGATTTGAAAGTATGGATTGTGTATTAATGAGTGAGTGTAGATGAGGAAGATAAATGTTAGGAAAAAAAAGTTGCATGCAGAAGAATAACAAATGAGTGGGAAAAAAATAAGAGATAAAAGGTAAGGAGATCTTAGAAAACTGTTAAGAAGGAAAGGGAGATTATTTGAGGAGAGAGAAAGTAAGAAAGCATAGTGAAAACAGATGGAAGTTCAAGGCAGGAGAATGCGAAGGTAAAGAGCCAGTGAAGGAAATGACCAACAGGATTATCACCCGGGTCAGAATGTGCCCAGGGTCAGAAGGAAGTGCTGTGAAGCAGAAATAAGAAAGGAGAACATGAATACAGTAAAGGGAATATCAGCAAGAATTGGTATGCTGTGGTGTTACAGAACAGAGAGAATAATCTTTCATTATAGAGAGATTCCAAATTGAATGGAAGGCTGGGTGTCTGGTTAATAGACTACAGCGGATAAAATAATGTTGGTGAGATATTAAAGCAAATTTGTGATCTTTCTAAAGAAAAAGAAAATTGTTCAAAGAAAAAGCATCCAAGCAGGACATTGAGGTGCTTGAGCAGGTCCAGAGAAGGGTGACGAAGCTGGTGAGGGGCCTGGAGAACAAGTCCTATGAGGAGCGGCTGAGGGAGCTGGGCTTGTTCAGCCTGGAGAAAAGGGGGCTCAGGGGCGACCTTAATTGCTCTCTACAGATACCTTAAAGGAGGCTGTAGAGAGGTGGGGGTTGGTCTGTTCTCCCACGTGCCTGGTGACAGGATGAGGGGGAATGAGCTAAAGTTGCGCCAGGGGAGTTTTAGGTTGGATGTTAGGAAGAACTTCTGTACCGAAAGGGTTGTTAGACATTGGAACAGGCTGCCCAGGGAAGTGGTTGAGTCACCATCCCTGGAAGTCTTTAAAAGACGTTTAGATGTAGAGCTTAGGGATATGGTTTAGTGGGGACTGCTAGTGTTAGGTCAGAGGTTGGACTCGATGATCTTGAGGTCTCTTCCAACCTAGAAATTCTGTGATATTGTGATTCTGTGAACCTTTACAAGTAATAATTTGCCATGCCAAATAAATCAGCCTGCATGAATTTCTCAGGACTGCATCAAAAGCAGCCTTTCTGACAAGGAGGACTGTTCTTATTGAGAGTTATTGAAATTATTATTGATGTTGAGAACAAAGCACTGTGAATGGAATAAGTAGTTAGGAAAGCTTAGTTTAAACAACTGACTTTAAGCTTCAGTTATTTCATTCTTAATTTTTTTTCATTTTTGCCTAGGTGGCAGTTGTTAAATTTTATAATGTATCAAGGAAGTTAAATATAGCCCGCATCCAAAATTTGGTACTTCTTGGTGATCTAGGAAGATACTGTCTTTGTGTAAAGTTATTTCAGCAGTTAAAAAGAATGTTTTCTCAAACATAATTCTTTGCATTGTATCATTTTTTTCTTATGATTTTTGTAAAACTGCTTCTATGGAAATTGGATTAAATTTTTTAAATATTAAGCTTTACAATTTCAGATCTACATTTTTTTAAAATAAACGTTTAAAATTTTTAAACATGATGAGAAACTTTGGTTGAGAAGGTAGCTTTATAAGTATGTTTGACATTGGAAATGACACTCTTGAGCAAAAATACTGCTTCTTCACTTTAGGCTTAGAATTACTAATTTTATTTATCATTAAAGATTATTTTATACAGAAAAGCCAGATTTGTTTTCTTTACATTATTTTTATTTTTTTCACTTGTTTTACCTGCATTGATTTTGTTATATAAATTATGTCACTGTTGCACTTAAATAATCTAATTTAAGTTAAAAACTTCTTTAGAATTACCTTTATATTAATACGTCCTGACGACTGAAGGGAGTGACTAGTCTACTAAAAATGGAGCAGATTTGTATGCACTGGGCCACCTCCATTCCAATTGATGTGAATGAAAAAGATTGTCGCTGGTTTGAATGAGCAGATGTGCATTCAGTCTGGCTATCGTTCAAAGTAGTCTCCACAGAATGGCTGAGGCTGGCATGTAGCTTTGCCCTGTAGCTTTTCTGTACTTAAATTATTGACTAGTTCCAGCTGAAGTCATTGATTAGAATTCCTGCTAGTTTGCATAGGTCTGGGACATAATTGTATTTATCAGCAGGCAGACCAGTTTGTGCCATGCAGGATCATTTTAGTGAAATGTTTCTAATAAAATGCTAAGCTGAGTACATTGTTTTATCAGTGTCAGCAATCTAAACTGATATCTTCCATACTTTTTACACTTTAAACAGTTATGCAATTATTATGTGGGAAGTGATGTCAAGGAAACAGCCATTTGAAGGTAAGGCCATCTTTTCCTGTAATTTATTTTTCTGGACTTGTGTAAAGGCTAAGCCTGACACCTGGGTACCTGGGAGCTTATACATTTTAGGGGTTACTTCGTAATAATCCAGGTTGTAAGAATGTTGAAGAACATCCTTGTGTTATTCTTCCAATTTGTGTTGATTTAATAAATTCAAAATACTTTTCTTAAATAAAAAAACATAGCCTTATTTTGGTGAACTGTAAATACTATGGCTGAAATCTAAACTGTCCCTCCTATAGTAAGCTATTTATATTGCATATATTTCTAATGAATGCACGATGTCTATTTTGACAGAAGTTATAAACCCCTTGCAGATAATGTATAGTGTGTCACAAGGACAGCGACTAGACTTAAGTGAAGAAAGCTTATCAATGGACATTCCTCATCGAGCTTTCGTCATAAGATTGATAGTAAGTGGATGGGCACAAAACCCGGATGAAAGACCATCATTCTTAAGTAAGTTTGTCTTGAGTAATGAGGAAATAGTTTTAAATTGGCAGATTTCTGTCTCACGTGGTACTAACAGAGCAAGGTTATAGTCTCGAGAGGGAAATGGTAAAGATGACAAAAGATGCATCTGCACAGTCAAGTTGCATGGGATAAGATACTTGTCTGCTTCCATTATGCCTATAAACAAATTTGTGAATGGAGCTACATGTGCAGTAAAATTGAGTTGTTAGTTAGAGTCTCCTGCATTTGCTGTCTCTAATTTTCCTATAGGAAAAGGTAGCATGGTTTATTACTGCTTCTTTTTTTTTTCAGTTTATTTTGAAGGGAAGACTTCATTTTAATTTTTTATTCACAGGAAGGGGGGAAAAAAGGTAAAATATGTAGTGTGAATACTATGGGATTTGTGAGCCAGCCTGCAAACATACCAGCAAATCATTGCTCATCAGATGAGCTGTAGTGCCTTCACCTTGTGTTTGCATGTATAAATCTTTGTCACTGGGACTTTATCTTTGATTCTTCCGCCTCCCAGATTCAGAAGGAGCAGGTTGATGCCACACATGTAATGTTCTCTTTTCATACTTCCTCTGCTTAGCTTTTTGTCTATGAGATTAAATATAGATACTTGCAGCCTTTCTACAGCAAATTTCGGAATTTAGAACCTAAGATTGAAGGGCAAGCTTGCAGAGATTAGAGTGGCATGGTATATGAACTGAATAAGTTTAGTTTTGATATAGCAACCCAAGGTTTGTTATGCTTAACTGGCATGATTGGTGTATGTTGGGTCCAGATTTACTCCCCTTATGTGAAAAGCTGCCTAATTTTTTGGTGACTTTTGGCTCTTGTTTGGCTGTTACATAAAGGTAATCCATGAGAACTGGCTGAAAGTCATTACCAGGTTGGTGTAGTCACATATATCATTGTAGTAAAGCTAGCAGTGGTTCAAGCAGCTGCCCAGCTATGTTTGTTTAATTTGAGTGTGCTTTAAGAAGTGCCTCCCTACTTCTTTTAAAAATGCAATCCTAATTATGCAGGGAATGCTGGATCACTGTGGAGAGACAAAAGAAATACAATATGAGAGTTACTAAAAGTATTCAAGTGTAAAACAGCACAAAGAGCTCTGGATTAAGCAATCCTTTATTTTGAGTTTCTCACTGCTTAGGTTGAAAATGCAATGACTCCCATCTGAAATACCAATATTTTTTTTTTCTAAATTTTTATTTTATTTTACAAGCAGGACAGCAATCTTAATGTTTCACTTGAAGATTTGATGAACAGAAGTTTGTTATTTTTAAAACCTTAGTTGGCATAATTCCTTTGAATTGGAAAGTATTAGAAAATTGCTGGTCAGACAGCTCAACAAGGAATGTCCATAACTTCACTTTTATGGATCAGCTTGGCTGAAGAAAAAAAAAAAGACACAGCCAAACAGATTGAGTATCTTTATTTTCAAAGTTTGTGCTCCAAAATGAATTAATGTCCTCTTTAAAACAATTTTTGTTTTTGCATTAAGAATGTTACGAAAGTTTAGTGTATTTTGTTGTGTATCTGGTTTGTATAATTTTAAATTGTGGATTTTTTTCAAGTAAATAAACCAATTTATAATGTTTTCTAAAATCAGAAAGAACAAATCATAGCATTTACGTAGATATTCTTGCTTTCCTCTGTCACATACCCAAAATAAAATAGCAGCCGAAGTCTGTGGTCACACAGAAGGGATAATTACCTAGGATATGACTACAGCGTGAGCTGTCTTCGGCTCTGTTATTAGTGCAGTGCCTGTAGTAAGATGGTCTTTGAAGGGAACATGCATTGCTTTTCCTCTACTTTACTATCATAAAAAGAAAGAGGAAGTTACAAAACTGTTGCAAAATTAAGAGAAGTAAAGCTCACTGATTGGGAAATTTTGCAATTACCATAAAACAGGGGAAAAAGAAACACCCAAGCCCTACTTTTTAAAATAAACTTTAAATAGAAAAGCTTGGTTAACCTGTTACCCATATAAAGAAGGGACAAGGATTTATCGTCATGTTTCTGCACAGGTCTGTAATTCCGTTGATTCTGCAATCTTGAAACCTGCACTTTAATTAAAATCAATAAAAATTAACAATCCTGGTACCTCAGTGCGGAAAATGGCATGCCAAGCCTCTAGACTCAGCTGACACAAGAGAATAAGAATCCCACTACTGAATTAATGTCTTGAAGCTGCCAGTGAAAAACACTTAATGTGGGAAGAGTATGGTAAAACTGTAATAAAAAATAAAAATACATTAATTAATAAGAATGCAGTGTAATGGATTTCTAGTACTGCAAGTGGGTTTTGCTGAATCAGTGGAGTTTATAGAAATGCAGTAGGTGTTACATGCTGTCCCCCTTCACTGACATTTTGTTATACTTGCCCAGTCTCAGAGATGTTTGTATAATAGTCATCCTCAAATTTGAAATACTTAGTTTCACAAATCTTTCAGCACTGAAAGACAAGGGAGCATTGCACGTATTGTCACTTGCTTATTGAATTGTCATGTGGCTCCCTATGCAGACAGATGATGTTAGCTTCTGTGATTTACTGCCTTTAGTGAGCATGCAGACGCTGTCACTTGGATTCACTGGATGTGGTAGGTCAGTGCTTTGACTATCACCATTTCCTCTGGTCTTCCATCACAGCATCTTTTCTGAATATTGCTGTGGGGTTTTGTTGTTTGATTTGTTTTTATTTTCCTCATAATTCTTTGCACCACTACTCAGATGGGAGTAGAACAACTCGTTCTGAGGTCTTGCACGTTTTGGTCCCATTTAGCAGATCAAGCTTGTTGGGTCTGTCTTGAAATCACAGAACCATAAAGGTTGGAAGAGACCTGCAAGATCACCTAGTCCAACCTCTGACCTAACACTAACAAGTCCTCCACTAAACCATATCACTAAGCTCTAAACAGCAAATCCATCACTCTGTCCATTCCAGGAATGCAAGACTTGGACTCTGGGACAGTCCCAAATCCAGGCTGCTGAGGTGGCCAAATCAGGATTGGTTTTAGTGATACAAAACTGTTGTAACAGGTGAAAGCAAGAAACTTCTGTTTAGTATCATGTGTAGTTTGGTATGTATTAATAAAGAAATAAGTTTTACAAATATAAGGAAGCAGTTTTAGCAATATGAAGACTTAACTTCCATATTAAATCATTCAGCAAATCATTGTTTCTTTGTTTAGAGTGTTTAATAGACCTTGAACCAGTCCTGAGAACGTTTGATGAAATCGCTATGCTGGAAGCAGTAATTCTCTTAAAGAGATCAAAGGTAAGTAGCTTTTGTTACAGTCATGAGTTGGTAAAATAAATTGGCAACTTCTGCTTTTCTCTGCTAAACGAAATATAATGTCCTTTATTATTCAACTAGTCCTGTATCAAGCTTAAACAGACCAGAAACTTAATACAAGTAAAAACATCTCTTTCAGTCACGGTATGAATCGCAATGTATTCACAAGAGTGGAAAGAAAACAGATGTGGAGAAAACATCTCTAAATATACCTCTGAATCCCCAAGAGGTAAATATTTTGCATGTTGAATTTGGACCTTCCCTGGTATGTCAAAATCATTAAAAATCCTGAGAGCTTCGAAGGCGGATATCTTAGTAAGGGTGGGGGGAGGGGAATGGTTTTGCAGTTTACTTTCTTGTCCAGTCAGGAAAGGTGGAAAATGTGTTCACTGAGCTGGGATGCGTCATGTACACAGCCATATAAGTGAAGATAGGAAAGGCTCAATAAGCAGAAAAAAGAATGGTACATCTGGTATATCCTCTAAGTGTGGAAAAGGCATCTATCTGCTCCATGATGAATCCAGCACAGCGTCTGCGAGTGGTTGTCTTCTGCTTCCTTACACCTCTGTGTAGCTTGCTTATATAGGGTCATATGGATTTGTTTGTAAATTTTGGTTCTTAGTGCTGTTTGTTTTGATTCTTATTAATAGTTAAACTCATACACAAAATTGCTGTCTGCTCTGGAAAAACAGAAGTATTAGGATTACATGTATTTCTTTTGTTGTAGTGTATTCTAATTGTGCTGTCTATTGAGTATTTAGAGAATAGGGAAAAGAGTGATGAGGAGGTACTTGGTAAATCATTGCATCTTTTTATTTATTTAATGTACATTTATTTATTAAACGTGTTAATTTTCATTGTATAACTGGAATTGTTTCAGGAAACAGGTTCTGCCTCCATACACTGTGATGCACTTCCCCTTCGAAGTATCTCTCCAGATATATCAAGACTCAAGTCTATTCCCAAGTATAATATCCTCTCATCAGGTAGATGCTCATGACTTCATATAAACTTAATTTGCCATCACAGCTTTATGCTCCATTTGTGACACTGAATTTGCATAGTAAATTATTGGATATCTGTTTATATCAGAAAAGAGATGTATTTTATTGCTGTCAACTTAGTACTCTGGCTGAAAAGCTAATGTATTTTAGCTCTGATTTTATGTTCCTGTCACTTGACAAATCCTCACAGCACTAGTTTTTGTTTTCAGGGCCATGATCACAGCAATACCTTTTGCTTGTCTCTTCATCTTGGCAGTTTAGTTAATCATTTGCAAAGTACTTCTAAATATAAAAAGGCTAAATATTGTGAGCTGCTCTTAAAGCTGAGTAAACTGAAAGTTTCTAATACAGCCCAACCTCTAGATCATTTCTCATTCAATCAGTAAAAAGGCTTTATTAAAGAGATTCGCTTGCAAAAGTGTCTGCACATACATGTATCTTTTGTATTTATCACCTCTGCCAACTAAAAGTTGGCAAAATTCCTAGGCAAAATTCAGTTTTGAGGTTTTGCTGACATCAGAAACCAGAAAAAAGCTCTTGAACTCAGATTGAATAGCAATACATTATGAAATTAAAACTGCATTTAGGTTTTGAAAGAAAGTAAACTTATATTCCAAAAGAATAGGGCATCCTTTGGCTTTGTGGGGACCATTGGTATGAAAGCAGACAAGACGATTAACTGTACTGCTATAGAGCATCAAAAAGTGTGCTGGGACACTGCAAAACTGGAGATATTCTACCAAGACCCATGTCCCTTAGTGCCATGTCTTTACGTCTCTTAAATACCTTCAGCAATGGGGACTCCACCGCTTTCCTGGGCAGCCCATTTCAATACTTGACCATTACGGTAAATGTCAGCCCTCGTTGCTGCTGGGTTTTGTTCTAAGTTGCCAAATCTTCCTGTGGAGATTGACTGTGGTGGTACAATTAAACTGACTGATCAGTTGGTGGTCCTTTATAGAGTTACTGCTTAGATGTTGCTGTATGTGTGTAGAGATACTGTAATGTCTGTAGCTACAAAATCCCTATATTCTAAGAGCAATTAGAATCAATGGAATTGTGACAATGGCTGTTCAAACCCAATGTGTTTTGATAGAGCAACTTGGGGCCGTTCCATCTAGTCCTATCACTAGTTACCTGTGAGAAGAGGCCAACCCTCACGTAGTTGCAGAGAGCAATAAGGTCTTCCCTGAGCCTGCTTTTCTCCATGCTAAACATGTCCAGTTCCCTTAGCTGCTCCTCACTGGACTTGTGTTCCAGGCCCTTCACCAGCTTTGTAGCCCTTCTCTAGACACGTTCCAGGGCCCCAATGTCCCTCTTGTAATGAGGGGCCCAAAGCTGAACACAGAACTCGAGGTGCGGCCTCACCAGAGCTGAGTACAAGGGGGCAATCACCTCCCTGGTCCTGCTGGCTACACTATTTCTGATACAAGCCAGGGTGCTGTTGGCCTTGTTGGCCACCTGGGCACATTGCTGGCTCATGTTCAGGCGAGCATGTTAACTGCAAATCTAAGCAGGTCTCTTTATTTCATTCAAGGAATTCATCTGTTGTTCTAGGATTCTACTGAGTGTGTTTGGGAACATGGTATTTTCTCCTTTCAGGAATGAGGTTTTATATTGCAGTTGATGAATGAGCCCACATATATTAAAAGGATGTTAAGGTACTTGAACATCCAGAGAAGGGCAACAAGAGCTGGTAAAAGGGCTTGAAGGCAAGTCCTGTGCGGAGAGGCTGAGGACACTTGGGTTGTTTAGTCTGGAGAAAAGGTGTCCAAGATGCGATCTTATTGCTCTCTGCAACTTCCTGAGGAAGGGAAGTGGGGAGGGAAGGGGGCTGCTGGTCTCTTCCCTCTGTGAGCCAATGACAGGATGAGTGGGAAAGGCACAAAGCTTTGCCAGGTTTGGAGTGGTTCAAATTAAGAAAAATTTCTTTACCTTGAGGGTGGTCAAAAACTGGAACAGGCTTTCTAGAGAGGTGGATGATGCCCCATGCTTGTCAGTGTTCAAGAGATGTTTGGACAATGCTTTTATTCGTGTGCTTTAACTTTTGATTAGCCTTGAAGTGGTCTGGCACTTTGATTTGATGATCTTTGAAGGTCCCTTCCAAGTGGGACATTTTCTGGGACATTTTCTGTATTCTAAAATTGTATAATGCCTTCAAACCATGCATCCATATAAACAGATACTGACAGGAGCAGCATCTCATTTTATGACTTGCTTCTGCACTGGTATGTTCTGAAAAGGAAATTATTTTTCCATCTACAGCTTCCTAGTCACTCTTAGAATTTGAAGACCTACCTGTACATAAGTTTGGTACGGTGTCTAGAAAGTACCTCCTGGGCCATCAAGTTCATTCTTTTATAATTGCAGGCATTCATCTCATAGAACAACATTTATAAACCAATCAATTTGCCAGTAAAAGTGTATGTTATTACTTTGCCCAATAGCCTTTTTTCTAGTCAGCTTATACACATTTGTTCTTGAGTACTGCTTTAGGTTTAAATAGTTCTTTCCCTCTTTTCCCATTTTACTTCCAATGTAGAGAGTAATCTCTTACTACACTTTGTTTTACTAGATAAACAGGATAAACACTTCTGAAGTCTTTTTGTAAAATAAAACACTTCATTATCATTGTATCCTGCTAGTACTTTCTGTGCATCTTCTAACTTAAATTACTGAACTAAGACAGCTACCTGACCTCTGTACTTAATATTATAAAAGAGGTGTAACAACTGTTTTCTGTCTGAAATAGAAACTTTGCTTAATATATGTTAGAATTTCTTTTCTCACATTGTCCTCTGTTACAGAATAATTACCTTTTTTTTCCCTCACGTCAATTGCAAATCACCAGGCACTGCTTGAAGCTAGATCTCATATTTTGTGCTACTGAATTTCCACCTCTTTTACTTCTGTGTCAAGTAGGTTCTTTCTGAATAACCTAGGTTAACCTGTTCTTTCTAAATAACATTGGCAAACTTCATTAGCATGTTGTTTTTTTTTGTTTTTTTTTTTAAAGCTATGGTTGCTGGTCAGGGTCATTCTCTCATTCTGGTACAATTCCAGTAGTTTTGTCTCTACTGTTATTCTGTTATTAGAGATCCGTGTTTGCCTAGAGATCTAGAACAATCTAGCCCTGTAGAACTTTTTAAAATCCTTTTCTAAAGTTTTTTTCTCATATCAGTTCTCTCCTTATAATTTCTCATTCAGGCAGCAGATATATCACATCTCAGTACATAGTTCTGCCCTGCTTACTTTCTTTATCTTTCATGAAATAAAATACTAGCTACTATGAATTCTAGTCCACCTAGAATCATGAGTTTTAGTTCTGTTTAAATAATTAATGTATTTTTCACATTTTCCTATTCCCACTCTTTACAGCGACAGGTCAACATTCCCATCTAAGCATACACCTTCAGAGTCCCACATTTGTTATGTACCCTTAAATCCCAAATAGTGCGTTGAGCGACATCTTATTAAATGATTTCATGAATTCTTATATCAGTATCTTTTTCTTAGTTCACATCGCCAAAGCTCTTTGTCAAGTGAGACTGTGGAAATCTGTAATGAAAACTATGTGCAGAATGGGGTATATGCCCTGTAATTTGTTTCTGATCAGCTGTTCGTCGTCTCTTCTCTCCAACTGCTGCTTTTGTATCTATCATTATATTTTTTTCTTCAATTAAAATCCAAAAGTAGAAACTATGTTCTCTACCTGATAAAAATCCTTCTTTCCCTTTTCTCAAAAATTTTACACAAAGCTTACTTGATACCATATGCTGTTCCATCAGACTACCAAAACCTTCCATTCACATTCCACTGAATGTCTTCATTGGTCTTCATGTTCTTTCCCTCCACCTGAATCATTTCTAATCTTTCCACTTTTGTTACACCACCAAACTTCATAAAAATAAATTAGTCAGCTTTCATGCTGACTCACACTTCTTTGCAAACACTTCAGGAATTACTCTGTTCTTATAGTCCCCACATCAAATTTCTGTGCGTCAGAGCTTTGACGGTTCACATCTACTGGAGTTATTCTCTGTGTTCTTTGAAAATAAAACAAGACCCCCAAAAACACAAGCCCTGGTAAAAGACAAGGGAGATGAATGTGCTGAGAAGCTGAGTTGAAGGAATAGTGTGCTGTATTTGAAATGATGTTAGGTTGTTTACAATTTGTGCTATAGAATTGCTCTAAATATTGTATTTTGCAAGCATAACTAATGTAGTAGTATTACAGCTTTTTTTCTTCTTTCCTAAGATGGAGATTCTGGTAGTCTACACTCTCTCAGCTGTCAGAGCGTGGATGAAAATCTCTCCGTAACTCAAAGTGCCAAGCTTTTTGTGCACCCATACAGTTACCTTCCCTCATCTGACAAGAGTATTTCAGTTCCTTCAAATTCCTCATCATCTGTGCTGCGGACATCACCAATTCCTTCAGGTACAGCGAACACTGGTTTAATTCTAAGTCCTATAGCAATATTGAATATATGCATGTATGAATTGGAAACTGGAACTGGTGTTCATCTGTAAAATGCAAACAAAGCATGCTGCAAATTAAGAATGTAAGTGATTCTGTCCTTGTAGCCTTCTATTACAGAATAAGTAAAAATAATGTAAATTGTGGCATAGAAGATGTAGCTGTAGTTCCTAGTTTTTTTCCTTTCATTTTAAGCAAACTTAATTCCTGCTGCCCTGGGAGCATTCTCTTTATTAATGTTGTTTCTCCTTTCCCCTACTACTGTAGCAGTGCTACAATCCAGCAGAATAAAGAAGAAAAAAATTAAACTCTAGCTTTTTTTTTCTCATGACCTGACACGGCCACTTTTTAGGCCTGCCTAGTAACACTGGGGCAAATAGAAGCAGCATCTCACCTTTAACAATCTTTTGTGTTAGTTGAGATACACTGGATAGTTTTCGTGTGCATCAAGTAACTGCAAAAAGTGTGCTTCCAAAAGAGTGATAACAAAAAGAAACTGGTACCTGATAAGTTATTCAGAGAACTTTTTACGAGCCACACAATAATTTGGAATTTTATAAAGATCTGCCACATCATCCCCCTGCTGAAACTTACAATTGCTAATAAAGTTCCACATTGAAATTTGAAGTGCTTTTTTTGAAGCCGTCTAAATTCATCCAAATCTTGACAATTCTGTAAGTCAGTTTTAAGTGCCTCATACTTCTAGCAGTCTGTCATGACCTAAACTATTTCCTTTAAATTTGCTTCAAATGGAGCTTATAACTTCTTATAAGAAGTGGCATGTGCTTTGTTTCATTAAGCCTTTTCTCCTGTGAAACTAGAGGAAAGGATTAGGGGTATGAGAGGTTGTCTGAATTTACAGACAGATGTGGGGCAGGCATTTCTCAGCGTAGGGGTTCTCATCCATATAACACTAAGAGTAGTTAGGATTACTGTGGGCACTTGAGACTGGAAAACACATTGACTGAGACTGTGAGTGGGTTATCTGGATGCATTCACTTAAAAATTACTTTCTGAGAGTAAACCAGAAACAATTGAAAAATGTCAAGGGAAGGGACAAAGCTTTCTACAGCCTTCTGCACAGAATCTTGGATCTGCTGTGGTGGGGGACTCCTGAGAATGAGGATCTGTACGTTTTCACTGTATAAATCCTCAACTTGAGGAATATATGCTGGAAGCTACACAGGCTTTTTCAGTACACTTCCCAGAGGGATTTTTATTGAAGCTGAGTTAGCACCTCTCTCTTTTTATTACCAAATTGGGTCAAACACTAGAATAGTTTGTCTATGTCTATAGAAGTTCCATTTTTGGAGATGCTCAAAATTCACCCAGAGGAGGCCCTGAGACACCTGACTTATTTTTGGGTAGCTTTGAGTAGAACATTAGACCAGGTGAGGGTTCCTTCCAACTTAAATTATTCTGTGATTTGGAATAAAAATTATATTCTATCCAGCAAATTTGGCAACTCACAACATTTTAAATGTGGAATGTAAGATAATAATTAAGTGAATATCTAATCAAAAAAAAAAAAAGCTTTTTACCAGCTCTCTTTCAGCTTGTTCTTTGTTTTATGGCACTATTTATTAACAAGAAGTGTGAAAATATTAATCTTTCTTTTTTTTTTTTTTTTTTTTTAATTCTTCTTGATCTCAGATTTTGTTCTGGAAACAATGCAACAGAATGTAGCTCATCAATGGATCCAAAGTAAAAGAGAAGAAATTATTGATCAGATGACCGAAGCATGTTTGAATCAGTCACTGGATGCTCTTCTATCAAGATTTTTACTCATGAAAGAAGACTATGAACTTATAAGCACCAAACCGACAAGGACATCAAAAGTCCGACAACTACTCGATACCTCAGATAGCCACGGAGAGGAATTTTCCAGAATTATAATACAAAAGTTGAAAGACAACAAACAGCTAGGACTTCAACCTTATCCAGACATTGTATCTAATTCTCTAAGACTGCATCTTTAAGTCTGTTTGTTTTTTTGTTTGTTTTTTTTTTTTGAAGCCCTGTGAATATTTCTTAATACACAACCATTGTTTCTATTTAGAAGTTTTATATCTGTACTGCTTTATCTTTACTACATCTTTGTAGAGTCTCGGAAAAGACACTAGACTTCTCATCTAGGCTGCATTTGGTGAGTTGCCAATTGAATCAGTTGGAGTGCAGCCAGAAAGCCAAACACTTGACACTTGTTGACTGAATTCATACAAGTATCGTGTTTATATGTGACAAAGTAAAATCATTAAATGATCCCTGTTTTACATATTTAATGCTTATACATATCATATTTTCTGTTTATACATAGCTTTTCCTATCATCTCACAGGACTGAGACAACTTAACTTGGTATTGGTTGTCTTCCCTCTGTCTGATTTTTCCTGTAGATGGGGGAAAAAACTAGGTGCTCTATTTTCAGGCTTGTATACTGTGTTTGTAAATAAATCTTCTTCGAGCTATACTGAGTATTCCTCCCAAGGTACCTGTGAGGAGTGGTAGGTGGGTAGAAGTTTACATTTGTATTTTTACAGGATTTCTATTATTGTTTTGTTTGCCCTATTTTGTTGCCAGGGTAATTCAGACCACTGCAAAAGAAGGATGTGAATCCAAAGAGGAGCCCCAGGGCAAGGAACACCTTGTGCTGATCGTCATTGTCCTAAGAACTGATACATTAGAAAGGGTGGAGCTCTAACCTTATCTTATTTGGTTACACCCACTTAAGTTCCTCTTGAAATTAGAGTATTTTAAGATCCAGATCCACCTTGTACAAGGGAACCCTCAGTTAAAGCCTCACTTACAGTCATGGTTTTGTGTACGTATTTCTTGTTCATGCTGCTGGATCAAACTTCTAATTCAATTTTGTTTTTCATATTTATGTGATGAGCAGTAGTTTGGTTCTGTACAAATACCACAAACATGCACTGCGCTGGCAGGCTGGAAATAATGTACGTGAGCCTCTCCAGTGTGGCAGCAGAAGCAAAGTGCTCAACTGTTGAGGGGTAAATGCTGTACCCTGAGCTGCATTAATCTTCTCTGGACATCTCTGTTAACCTTTTATGTCTCAGGGATGGTGCTAACATGTAGAGACACAAGTTAGGCAACCTGAGAGCAAAAGGTATGTGTTGGTTTTATTATTTATTTATTAAAAATTCATTACCTTGATGGCTTTAAATCCTGTAAAATAAAATGATTTTAATTTGTCAGAACACAGCACAGGCAAATGATTTTTACAGGCACTAATAAATAATTTCAAATACTGTCACTACTATAAAATCTGGGAAAATCCAAGCTTCTGGTGCAAGAAAGCTGAAATCTACCCATACTACCTCATAAAAAGGGGCAGATAAATAAGAAGTCCTAAATGATGGCTGTTTGTAAACCAATGAAGGTTTGAGGTCTGCTCCGTTTCAGTATGATTCAAGCCTCAGTGTTTTCAGCATTGTTGGTTGCCATTAGCTTACTTTATTTTCCAATATTTATCTTAACTTACTGAAGTTAACTTACTTGTGAAGTTAATCACAAGAGTATGATGTATAAATTATTGGATGGAAATGAAGTTTTGCAATTTTTTAAGTAAGTTTTTGGCATAAGCTGTGAGTTTATGTTTTATCATGCTTCCTTCTGAAGACTGTAAAATTCTAGCTAGATAGCTGAGAACAGGTCAATAGTGCAGTGAATGGGTGTGCTTTTTTGTAGAGCTGACCCGATGATGTCTAGCAAGAACAGGCTCTGAGGAATGCTACCAGCCTTGCCATTTGGAATTTGGTGCCAGACCTGCTCATTTCATTGCACATCACGCTCTCAGCCATATTTTCTCATTATTACTAGTGCCCAAAGAAAGATTTGATTCATGGAAGGTAGCAAAATCCTGCTGCATAGAAAAATCTAAAATCTGATGTGTATTAAGAGCTTTCCTGAATTGCAGTTTTAGTAACTAGAAAAACAGAAGCTTTTATGTCAGTACCTTTTTACAAGCTGGTACATTGTGCTTGTAGTAGGGTCTGCATGAATTGCAAACTTTATTTTAAATTGTGTGTAAGAAGATAAAGGCAGTCCTGCTATGCCAAAAAATAAGCCAGGGCGCTCATTGTCCTGCCATGTATCTATCACCTGATGTCTCATACATCTACACACATGGAGGGGTCAGGGTCTGTACCTCCTTCCCATTTCTCCCCAAAAACAAACAAACAAACAAAAACAGTATGAATGCCTCTTGCAAATGATTGCAACCTCTGGCTCGGATCAATGCCACAGTGCTTTGCCCCTGCAAAACTTGAGCATATGAGAAATGTTGTGCTTCAGAGCTCTCCATGCTGTGCACAATACATGATAATGTCAGCAGGACTTATTTTAAAATAATATTTTTTTAAAAAAGGTAGCAACTGTCTGTGTGCAAGCTGGCAGGCTCTGTTCCGAATTTGTGATTTTTGCTCCTACTTCTTCTTGGTACTACTGCTGCGCCTATGCACTTACCTCTGACATGCTCTGCAGCTTTCCTGTATGCCTGCTGCAGCTTTTCTGTCAGCACCTGGTAAGCTGCTGATTCAACATTGCTGATGTATGGATGGAGCCCTGGATGGATGGGACAGATCCTAAAGCCATTCCAGGTACTGCCAACCACCTGCATTAGCTGCTTTCCCTCCAATCTCTTCATAGTGCAGAGGAAATGTTAAACATGGAAGATGAGGACCGACAGCTAGGACACCTAGCTGAGTGAAACGAGCATCCTGCTGCTTTCTGAGGTCTCTTCCTGCTTCTGCCCCTTGCCTGTCAATAGGGAATAGGGTTGGAGTCAGTTAATAATAACAACAATAGGTCTGGCCTACAGCATCAGGTTGAGGAATGGGACTGTCATGCTCCTGTAATCACTGTGGGCTGCCCCCTTCGTGTGCAATCACCTGGAGGTGGCACAGCTGCAGAAAAAGTAATTTTCTACCCCCAATCCTAAATGTATGTGCATCTATAGGTTTGTGAGTGTTGTTCTGGCCAAAGCTCAGCACTCCAAAGAAGCCCTGAGGCCACTTACTGAGCCGTTTTCTATCTCCCTCCTCTTTCCTTGGACCATGAGCCCTCCTCCCTGAGGAAGTAGGATCCATCAACCTGCCTTCTCCAACACATTAGGCATGTGCAGATTTCATTGAGAGTGAGGTAGGGGAGGGGGCAGCCGCGCTCTGGACTAGAGGGATACAGAAGGATAGGGAGAAAGCTTTGGGATAGGCATGGGGAAAGGGAGGTGAAGTCTGTGTGCCCGAGCCACGCAGGGTGTTTGAAGGGTGTATGGAAGTGACAATTAGACATGAAAGTTAGTAAGTCAAAGTCTGCCTCTGCCAATTCTGTTGTTTAATTCCCGTAGTATGAAAGAGGAACAGAGTTTCTGTGCAGCTGGAACACAGCACTGATTTTGACTGCGGCAGCATGTACAGGGTTTGCCCAAGAGCCAGGCATAGTCATGCAGTTCATGCACAGCTTCTTCAGGAAATCCAAGTCTGGTGTGTTTGCTATAGTCATGCTCAGTGGGACCCAGGTCTGTGCGTAAAATGGTTGCAAACGCTCAGGAAGACTGCTGTTTGAAAAGCTAGCTGATTTATTTATTTACACACACACTCTGCCATTGAACAACAGTACTCTGTGCACTCCTTACCTCTTTACCAGTAATTCCTAAGAGATTTTTCAGCTTTCTCGCTCCCAAGGAGGAATGCTGCTGCTGTTTCAGAATGCTATTCTTACTGACAGTAAGAGCTTTCCTCTGAGTAGTACTAGTTCTTAGACAGCCTTTTTATATGTACGTTGGAAAAGAAGGAAACAAAAGACAAATTATTTTGTACTTCTTACTGTTATATATTTCATGTACCATTTTAGCACCTAGCCCATTACTATTGTAACTGCTTCAACTGTCTGCAATCCTCTTCGCTTTTCATTCTAATGAATTTCTTGTGTTCTTTGAATCATTGACTATCATGAAATGGAAGAGACCTAAAACTGTCATCAAGTCCAACTCCTGGCTCCACACAGGACCACACAAAAATCAGACCATGTGTCTGAGAGTGTTATCCAAGTGCTTCTTGGACTTCGGCAGACTCCAGGCTGTGACCACTGCCCTAGGGAGCCTGTTCCAGTGCCCAACCACCTTCTCAATTAAAACCTTTTCCTAATGTCCTCTTTGGTTACTTTTTATCATCTTCATTATACTTGTCTTCATTCACAGCACCCAGAATCCATCTGGTTTTCATGACTAATAAAAAAAAAAAAAAAAAAAAAAAAAACTTTATAAATAGTTTATATAAGCTTATATAAGCTTTATATAAGCTGTTGCACCCATACAATGAGGAGCAAGCCCAACCAGAGCTCAGTCCTGCATATGTTGCTGAATCATTAACAGACTGTAAGGCCTTTGACATGGTCCACATGACGTCCTAATCTCTCAGTTAGAGAGATACAGATTTGTAGGAAGGACCATCTGGTGGATAGGGAATTGGCTCGGTGGCCACACCCAGAGAGCGGTGGTCAATGGTTCTATGTCCAGGTGGAGGCCAGTGATGAGCAGTGTCCCTCAGGGGTCTGCCTTGGGACAGGTGCTTTTCAATATATTCATCGATGACAGAGACCTTGGGACTGAGTGTACTCTCAGCAAGTTTGCAGATGACCCCAAGCTGAGTGGGGCAGTTGATACAACAGAAGGAAGGGATGCCAAAAGGACCTGGACAAACTTGAGAAGTGGGCCCATGTGAACCTAAAGAGGTTCAACAAGTCCAGGTGAGCAACAAGTGCTGCACCCGGGTTGGAGCAATCCCGGACGTGAGTACAGTCTGGGAGAAGATATTACTGAGAGCAGCCATGCAGAGAAGGACTTGGGGTTCTGGTGGACCAAAAGCTTGACATGAGCCAGCAGTGCACGCTTGTAGCCCAGAAGGCCAACTGCATCTGGGACTGCGTCAACAGAGGGGTGGCCAGAAGGTCAAGGGAGGTGATTGTGCCCCTCTGCTCTGCCCTTGTGAGGCCCCACTTGGAGTGCTGCATCCAGGTCTCGGGCCCGCAGCACAAGAAGGATCTGTTAGAATGGATCCAGAAGAGGGCTATGAAGATGATCAAGGGGCTGGAGCACCTCTCGTACAAAGAAAGGGTGAGAGAGCTGGGGCTGTTCAGCCTGAAGTAGAGAAGGCTCTGAGGAGACCTCATTGTGACCTTTCCATACTTTAAGGGGTCTTATAAAAAAGATGGGAGAGGGACTCATTACTCAGGTAGATAATGATCAGGCAAAAGGGAATGGTCTTAAACTAAAAGAGAGGAGATTTAGACCAGACAATAGAAGGAAATTCTTTACTGTGAGGGTGGTGAGGCACTGGAACAGGTTGCCCAGAGAAGCTGTGGATGCCCCATCCCTGGAGATGTTCAAGGCCAGACCAGATGGGGCTTTGAGCAACCTGATCTAGTGGGTGGCATCCCTGTATGGCAGGGGGTGTGGGAATTGGATATCTTTAAAGACCCTTCCAAACTGACCCATTCTGTGATTCTCTGATACGATTCTGACCAGCCACAGAGTTTGCTGATCCTCATGTTCTGCTCCCACCCCTTGAGTTAATGCATTTGACAGTGCTCTGCACGCTATGCTTTGTCCTGTGTGAACTTTATATAAAGATCTGTTTACCAGGTCAATACAAATATTGGCCAGATGTTGCTTTGTTAATGGCAGCTAATGGCAGAGGACATTCAGCTGCATCTTTCCAATTGGAGTTAACTGTAAGTGCATCTGTTGTAGACAAGGACTGTGGGGATCAAAACACCAAGATGTTTGGTGGGAATAGAAGGAAGGGGACAGAAGTAGGAAGTAGGAGGAAGAAGAGGAGTTGGCAGTGGCTTGGCTGTGCTGTTAACTGCATCAGGGCAGTGGTATGAATGAAGAGGGCTCTAGAAATAGCTGGAGTGTTCTTGTTTGCAGTGTAGAGCCTTCCTGAGCAGAAATAGAAGTGTAAGCAAGAAACCAGAGGATGTTACAGCCTTTTCAGGCAAGTATACTTCCCTTTGCTGCTCCACAAGCAACTGTGTATGTGCGTAGCTACAACACAGAAAAGAATTGCTACGTGCAGTACATTGGCACAGGGGAACCCTCATTGCTGAAGGACTAGTCATAGTCTGCCTGGCTGTAAAAATGAATAAGAAAAATGTTACAAAGAAGTGAATGAGACTTCCTTATGTTATCTATCGCTTACTTAAAATGCAAGATAAGGGTAATCCTCCTTAGCAAAGGACCTAGAATTTATGTTCACAGAGGAAATGTTCAAGAAAGAAATGTTTTTCATGCAGGCTGCATGCTTAGTGATTGCGCAATGCTAAGCTGTGCGCTGTTGCTCTAAATTTGTGGGAAATGTCAAATAAGGCCAATAATAATACGGGAAGCATTAATGAAGAAAACATTTTGTTTCATGTTCCAACATGCAGCCTCTACTGAACTAAAGCAGTGGACTGAAGCTGGCTCAAGGGGTGGGTATATGAACATAGTAAAGGTGCTTGCCAGCTCTAAGAGTGGGCTGATGCCTGATGACAGAGGTCCTCAAGGTAGCACAAAAAAAAACAGTCCAGTGCCCAAACTGAGAAGCATGACAAGTTCAAATTTCAGAGTGAAAGTAACTATACATTCTTGAAAACAGGATTGCAGCCCTACTTTTTAGGCTATAGTCTGTTAATACTGCCCAGATGGGAGCAAAAAACAGTTTAAGATGACAGAGGCTCTGGTTAAAGAATGTGGCACTCGGCCTCTCAGCTCTCCCAGCAGAGAATAACATGCCTGCAAAACAGTTCCATTGCCAAAATGTGTTTTGATATATTGTAATGTACATAACCAGAGGCTTGCAGGCAGCTGAAGTTGTGCAATCTTTCCATGCAGGCTGAGAGAGCTTTCAGGGATAAATAACTTCAAATAAAATCACTTGGAGGCTGTTTATTCAAAATACTTACCGTGTACCTGTGTTTAATAGTGTTTAAAAAAAAAAAAAGAAAGCAGCCATTTCCATGTAAACATTAACTGCAGACCTCTCTCAGGTCTCTGAAAAAAAACATCCCTGAAAGCATGTTTTTACAAGATGTTACTTTAAAAGGAAGAAATAGGAGGAGCACTGACCTAGGATAGAAAGGTTTGGGTTGTTAGTATTTTTCCTTTGTGTCACTGTGGGTTACAGAATGGAACATGCAACACGATGCAGCTCTCCTGCTCGTTTTCCAGTGGGATTACCGGGGCTGACTGGAGGGATATCTGTGTTTGAATTCAATTAGTTCACTTTCCTCTCTGGATTAGTAGCCCATTCTGATTAAGTCTTGTTATCTGGTGCTTCAACTCAGTCCAGTGACTGAAGACTCTTGATCTGCCGGATCAGCTCCTTCCAAATGCCCTTTGACACAAGAATACAAATCCATGCCTTACTATTGGTCTTGTTGTTCATGGAAAACAAAAATCCCAGGTTAGTGTTCTTGCATTCATTAACTATATGATCTGCTCAGAAGACTTTATTTTCTGAGGTTTTACTTATTTTGGTAGACACTGTGCTGCATATCATACTGGCTCCTTTCTTCCGAAAGTACTTCAAAGGGAGGGCAATATATTGTTTCAGAAGACAAAGGTGAATACATTGGGTAAGTTGTTTCTGTCTTTGCTTATTTTTTATCCTTTTTTAAAGCTTATTTAATTTAAATAAGATCTTTATACCAGATCAGCATGTTTTATGTATCATGCATCTTGTCAGAAATTATTACAGAAATATTACAGAAAGTCCACAGATACGTAACTTTGTGGTTAAGAAAAGTAACGGAGTTGTTAAATAATTTAATACTGAATAGAAGAGAAGAAAATATAACAAAAAGTGCACAGGTAAACATTAAGTTGTTTGAAATGAAATAATACGTAGGTTTTTCAATTAACTACGATTACTCCTCTGAATATACTTCTATTTTGCCAACTCATCCAACAAGAATAAATGTATTCTTTGTGCACAGTGTTAGAAACAGGTCTCATTGTACCTTTCTAAATTAACAGGAGGGAATTAGACTGCATTCACTTACTGTTAATGTCTGGGAAACTTGTTCTTGTCTTCAGTGGCATGTGGGTGAAGGGGTTTTGTTTTTATTTGGGTTGGTTGGTTGGTTTTTCACCTTCTCTGTTGTCTTATTTCTGTCACAACTTTCTAAGGAATAGAGAGCAGCTGATCTGCGAGCTGTCTTCTGCCTGCTAATGACCTCAGTTGAGGTTGTTTGGAGAAACCACATTCCAGGAGAGTCTGGGATCTTCTTTCTTGAAAGCTCTCATTGATTTTAGCATTCACGCAATGCCATAATAAAAATAGCAGCTCAGGGATAAACTGAGAGTGAGAGAAGAGGCTATTCATACTAGAAATAACTACACTGTCCTGGTGAAACAGATGTGTGCTTATGTAGAGCAGCGGTAGGCAGTCCCTACTCAATTACAGTAGCCTCTCTGATGAAGGAAGCAAACGTGTAAGCTGCCACTTTCTCTTTTCATCTCTCTCTTAGATTTGGACTAGAGTAGCTTCTCTCTCAAATATCCGCTGTGCTTTGCTTTGGGGTGGGAATGGAGTACTGGGGGTGGAGCAGGTTCCTCATCTGGGAAAATCAGCCTCTGAGCATGCAAATGTGGCTGGAGCATATGAAACATTAATTCATCAATATTTTTATAAACATAAAATTTAAAAAACAAAAGGAAAGCTGATCACTTCCTACTGAGTGGGATGTTTTCTTCAGAGGAGATCAAAGTGATTTTTTTTTTCAATTGCTGTTTTATTTCATGATGTTCCTTCTTAATGCATAATGTTGTTTTGTTTGCTTCATCTTCTCTCACACTGGAAAATGTTCGACAGTATTATTTATCATGAATACTCCCTTTAAGATTTGCTGAAGTTCATGCCTAGGAACAGTGTTTTGAAGTTTGATCCACACATTTTTGGTCATGATAAAAACTTCAGGCTCATCTTATTTCTTTCCATGGTAGCTATTAATATAAAGGTATATGTTGGTTGTTGTTTTTCATTTGATTGGTTGTTTTTTTAATATATTCTGTATTTTTGATGTTATTTTGTTTTGTTTTCCTCATTTTTGATCGTTCTACTACACACAGGAAAAAAATAGCCAGAATGTACTTGAAGAAGATACTGAGACGTCTCACAATTTTTTTAATGTCTTTCTACACAAATATTGGCTTATAATGCAGGCATATTTAAAATATTCTAGATTTTGTTTTTAGATATCTTTAACATCATTCATTATCTAACTGAAAACTGGGAAACTATTTTTTTTTCAGTTTTATTGCCTGGTTTGAATTTTCTATGTTTATTGATAGCATAGCAGACTTTCATTATTGAGAAATTACATGGCAGTAGATAATCAAGTACTTTAAAGACTGTGAAGTTATTTGAAATAGCATTAAGTAGTAAATTTGATACCTAGCATGTTTCCAGCATTGTTGATAGGATATGACCTTCTAAATGCCCTCTTTTTGTAAGGGAATCTGTTAAGGGGAACTATGTTGGCCATCAAAAAGATCCTCCAAGCTATCTACTAGTATTTCTTGAACTAAAAGCAGCCTAATTTCAAATTTCAAAGCAGCCTAATGCAGCTCAGTCCCTCGGGAAGTCTCTGTGAGCGGTCCTTTAGATGTCACACTTCCATAACACCTGACCAAGCCTTGCTCAATCATTTGGAAAGGTTAATTACCTCCTCAAGAAGGAGGCAGTCACTCATTAGGCTGTAGATCCCTGAAGGATGGGGAAGTGTTTGAGAAAATCCTATCCTGCCAAACCAGTCCTGAGCTAATTTATGAAAGAATTGGCTTTAGTTCAGCTTTGGTTCTCAACTTTTAGTAAACTGTCCCTTCCTTCTTCACTTTTACATTAATTCTGGTGGTGACTTGAGGTGAAAAAAAAAAAAAAAAAAAAAAGTCTGTTGACAATTATCTCTTTATGGTATCATTTTTCTTAACTTCCCAGCTGACAGTCTACAATTTTCTTTCTGCTGCTTTTTGTACAGATAGTTGTTGCGCTCCTTTACATGAGACTGCAAACAATTCAGGGCCATCATGCCTATCTGTGCTCAAGGCTTTTTACTTCCTCTCCAGGGGGAAAATTTTCTTCAATTTGCCCCTAAGAAAGAACAGGACCTGTATGCAAACAGGGTTTTGGAGTTCTGTGGTGGAGATGATTTGCCAGCACAAGGCACAAGCAAGTATTTGCAGCTGTTTCACTTGCCTGCTGAAGCCTCTGAGGCACATCAGCATGTTCATACCTGTCTGAGCCTCTGATTTCCACAGTCCATAGGGACTCATAAAGTATGGACTTCCCCTCATTTCATGAAGCTTTTATGTCCTGCATTTCAGATGTCAAACACAAGAGTGACTGAAATACCTGTACATATATTTTCGATGTCATAAAGTTTTCTTATTGCAATGAAGATAGTCTTTGCACTTTCAGCCACATTAAAGAGGAATGCCAGAATGACTGCATACATTAAATCTCAGAATGACACTTTTAGGAAGCCATTCTGATTTCCTGTCTGCTAAATAATTTACTGTAAGGATTTGTTGGCTATTATAATGAAGGTTTTTGCAACTGAATATGGCCACCCCATGGAAGAAGTCAACTTGGTACAGCTGTGATAGGTGTCTCCATCATGAAAGCCCTCCCAGACATTAGGTAGTGGCTTTAGCTTGGATTATGTGCCTTGAAATATCACCTATAGAGATGTCTAAGTGACAGTGAACAGAATCATATTTGACCCGTGAGTCTTAATGTAAGCTTTTCTGCTCAGCAGTTCAAGGCAGAAGCAGTAATGATGGTCCCAAGAGGGGGAGACAACAGGCTGAAGAGTACATGACACATGAAGGTGAAGTGACATTAATGATAGTATGGCAGAGCAGAAGACAAGACTGTGGGTCAGGGTTGATAGGAATAAAATAACAGAAGCTATAAATATGGGAAAGGATTAGACCATGGCAATAGACCATGGCACCCTTTCAAATGTTTTTGCCATTCTCTGGATTGTAACAGCAGTAAAATCTTTGCACTTGTGACAGAAGTGTCGTAATTCTCCTGCTATTCTACAGGAACATTTGTACAGAAAAACAGTTCCTAATTTTCTTAATATCTTGCTGGGAACTAGTATAAGTCCTAAGTAAAACCTTGTTTATTTAAGGAAGACATAGTCCTAAAGAAGGAAAGAAAGAAGGAAAAACTTCAATATCATGACCCTACTGAATGAGACTAGTGCACTGTCAAATCTAGTGGGAATACTGCGACTTGGAGCAGGGAGGGAGCAAGGCTCCCCAAAAGGCTTTGTCCTTAGGGAGCTACTTTCTTGCAGAGTTTCAGCTGACATAAATTGGGGAACTCAAGCACAGTAAAGTCACACCTCTTCAATATGGAAAATGAATCTCTTATCCTTTGATTCTCAGGCTGCTCCTATTTGTGAACTTAACTCTGTGTCTGGTTAAAAGTTTTGCTAATGTGGCATTTCCCAAAGTACAGAAGTTTGAACTTTTTCTTGTTCTAATTTTTTTCTTTCAAAATGTTTTTATCCAAGGTCACTTATTTATGAAAGAAATATTTCCCTGCACAGCTCTGGTTACACATTTTTAGAGATCTGAAATAATCTTTTGCTAGCACAAGAGAAGAAAAATATGCAGAACATTGTTACTGAAAAAAATAATTTAATCTTTAACTAAACATCAAAGTTCAGGTTTGATATCATGCACGCAAGTCACCTGTACTACTGACAACCTATCAATTGCATTATGTGTCTTACTTTACAGGCAAACAACTTTATCTCAATTATCAATGAGACTTAATTAAGGAAAACAGATAGCTGCTGGTTTGATCACTCTACTTGCATAGCTCCACGTTCAGATCATCTCAGGAACAGCTGCATTTCAAATTCTGGCTCCCTTTGAGTTGTGCCCACATTTGTGCATTTTGGCTCAGACCCAGAGCTGTGAATGAGCCAGGAAAAAAAAATGCATATATAAAGCCCAGATCAGGCAGAAAAAGCACAAGGTGATTTTATACCAAGTATGCTGCCAAATAGTGGACTTTAAGAGTTAAACCAAATTCTGCCTGAAGTTCCAGTGTGTTGCTGTCCTGATGGGCTGTCCAGACAGCTGCAGTCACAGGACAGGGCTCCTGCCAACATCTTGTGTAGCCATGGAGAACAGAAACAGAGACAGGAGCTTCTGGAAATATTAGCTCTCCTCTCCTTTCCACCCCCATCTCTCTTCTCTCCTTTTCCCTTCTTTCTTTTTTCCCAACATCAGAAAACTTGTGTCAGTGGTAAGAAACTGGGTATGCTCATTAGGAATTTTAAGGGAAACATATGACTGGTGTATTTGATGCCTGAAATTTCTCTCCCAGACCAAGGTGATGTTTTTTGTTCTTCGAGGGACAAAGTGAAAAGTAAAAGGAACCACCCGTGTGTGAAGAAAAGGTCAGCACAGGGTGGAAGACTCAGCTGTCATGCTTGAACACCTATGGCAAAAATTAATATTTAATTTTACTTCATTGTTCCCCCAGTGCTTCTGCGGTTAAAGAAGTACATTTGGGATGAGGAAAGCATTTAATTTTTAAAGAGAGTTTGACATCTTTTAATCTTTAATCCTCATCAGGCCTCATTAGTTATTTGATCAACTAGAAGACTGAGTTCATAGAGTCACAGAATGGTTTGGGTTGGAAGGGTTCTCAAAGATCTCAAATATGTATCAGATATATATCCAGATAAATATTCAAATGCAGTGACAGCCAAAGGCAGGGATGCCACCCATTACATCAGGTTTCCCAAGGCCTCATCCTACCTAGTCTTGAATACCTCCAGGGATGGGGCAAAGGAGTTGCACCCAAAAAAAAGCTATAAAAGAATGCATCATTATAAAGTATTCAGGGCTGCTAAAACAGACATACGTTACAAAGGAAAGCAAAATTTTCAGGAGGTTTAGGATTATTTTTTTTTAATGGCTACTGATCCACATTTTAACAACATATTTGCAATCAAATGTTTTCAGCCAGTGTCATGTCAAAGAGTTTTGTTCTGCACTACACACACAGCTTTGCTTTATCTCATAGGATTTTGAGGAAGTTTTCTTTGGAAGTGCTTTGTAGTGAGGGAGGGAAAAGGAGAGAGAATTTAATTTCTCTTGAGGCAGGCACCAAAAAAAAAGGTCATTGTTCTAAGCAAGCATTGGTATGAGTAAGCCTGACCCAAGAATGGGTGTAGTCAGGGGACAATCACTGCCATCCAGGCTGCTACATTTCCCTTCCCCATTGCATCCCTCACCACTGCAGTGCCTGAGGGGTGTGATGTGTGCACGAGGCTGATTTATCTCTGCAGCTACACAGTTTGGTAGTTTTCCCCAGCTCCTGCTGTATTTGGATCTTGCCCTGCGAGCAGTGGTGCTGGAAGCTCTCACAAACATGTTATATTGGGCTCTCTTGTATGAAAGTGTTCCAGGAACAGGGTGTTCAAAATTCAATCCCTGTGCATGTGAGTGGCTTTCGCCCAGAAGTCAAGTGAGGTTAATAACTAAACAAGATGCATTATTCACTGCAGCCGTAATCTCATCTCTTGGAACAAACAGCTAAAGCTCTTTTCCTCATCCTCACATTAACATTAACCACCTGAAGCTGGAGCTTTTGAGTATCTTTTTTTTTCTTTTTCCTGTGTTCTTCAGTAGACAATTTTCAGATGTATATGATTTGATTTATATATACATATAAATATATGAATAATGAAACAAAGTTCTTCCTGGGATATCAGCATAATTTAGGGAGAGGTATACCTGTGTGGGACACTTCAGTTCTATTAGAGAATGTTTCCATAGGTAGGGTGTCTCTTTCTTCCCTAAGATTAATTCAGTAGCATCATGTAGACTTACAAGTCAATACAGATGACAAAGGTGAACTCAGAGTTCAATTTCAGGAATGTGAAATGAAGAAAGGAAAGTTACAGGGTCTGTGACCAAGGACAGTGACCTCTCATTCATCCATTAAAAAGGTACGCAAGGGTGAAAGGTACGAAGATCCACTAGTATGTGGTTCCTGGACTACAAGATGAAAGCAGGCAAAACAGTTGTTCTTTGTACCATTTGTGCCTTGTACAGTAATTATCTTACTCATGTCTCTGATGCCACATGCTTTACAAAAGATGTCCTCTCCTCTTGTTTCCAGGTAATGGTAGTTGAAGATGCCGGCGCCCTGGCGAATATGCTGCAATAAAAAATCCAAATCCAAGACTGGAAATGCTGAAATGGACGATATGGCAGACACAAGTGATAAAATGCAGATGAAAAAAGAAATTACATTACTAAATGGAGTTTCTTTAATTGTTGGGAACATGATTGGCTCTGGGATATTTGTATCTCCCAGAGGGGTTTTAATGTACAGTGCTTCCTACGGACTCTCTCTAATCATCTGGGCTCTTGGCGGAATGTTTTCACTGTTTGGAGCTTTGTGTTATGCTGAATTGGGAACATCCATTGTTAAATCTGGAGCCAGCTATGCCTACATCCTGGAAGCATTTGGTGCCTTTGTGGCCTTCATCAGACTGTGGTCTTCTTTGCTAATTATCGAACCAACAACTCAGGCAGTGATAGCAATCACATTTGCTAACTATATTGTTCAACCAATTTTTCCTCATTGCGAGCCACCATATGATGCAGTTAGGTTGATTGCAGCTGCTTGTATTTGTAAGTAAAGTTCTGATTGCTAGAAAATAAAAAATATAATTGTAGGTGCACAGGGATATTTTTCAGACTTTTTATGCCTTTATTTTTCATGAAAATAATTATTGCCTCCATAGAACATATTCTGAGGAACTCATATGCTTTTTGTTTTGTATTTTATTTGAGGCTGAGATTATTAGAGGGAAGAGGAGAATTCCAACAAATTGAGGGAAATTGTGGTTGCCGATTAAACATATCTCTGTGAATCATGGGTCTAATTTGCAGCCCATGCATGGTCTATGTCCTCTCTCCCCTATATCTTGCAAATCATTTAAGATGAAATTAAAAAATATTCTGCCTAATATGAGTTTTGTCTCAGGAAAAATTGAGTAGCGACCACATACTCCTCAGGGATAAGCGTTAACAAGTCTATCCTCCAGTAGATGGACAGTATTCAAATTCTTTTCCATAAAGTTGATTGGTCAAAGAGAGGTCATATCTTATTCCCTTCCCGTCCTTCCTTCCCTTCCCTGGTTACAAAGGAAGAATAGGAAAGGCAAGGCCTTAGGAAAGGAAAGGAAGAAAGTCCTTCCCTTGCTGCCCCTTCCCTTCCCTTCCTCCCTTCCTTCCTTCCCTTCCCTTCCCTTCCCTTCCCTTCCCTTGCCCTCCCTTCCCTTCCCTTCCCTCCCTTCCTTCCTCCTCCTTCCCTCCCTTCCCTTCCCTTCCCCCCCTATGCTACAGTATGACTTTTTTAAATGGCTTAAATTGTATAGCAACAAAAACTTCTAAAGGGATGGGTAATTTAAAGTTAGTATAATGTATACTGACAGTTCTGCAAAGATGTTCTCTCTGTAGCCCTGACCCTCACCAGCATGGTACAGAAGAAGTTCACTTCTGAAGAAGGCTCCATGATATAAGTTGAGACCATCGTGGCCACTCCACACTCTAAAGGCAACTAACCCTTTTCCAAAAAAAACTTTTATCAGCTGAAAGTCTCCACTTGCACAGGAAAGCAGTTATTTATTAGACCAAAATTAATTTTTAATTTCCCCAGTGTTCTACATGCCTCTCTTGAAGTCACTTAAGAAAACCAGTCTTCAAATACTGATGTTTCTTCAAGCCTTTTTTTCTTCCTTTTTTTTTTTTTTTTTTTTAAAGTTATTCCTGCTGTAGTCTTCATGTGAATCATCTGCAATGTACTCTAGTACCTCTGATTTCCATGAGCTCATGCGCCAGGTGTGGCTGGCAGCTGCTGCTTTCTCATACAGAAAATTAGCTGACCAGGCCTACAACCAGCATTTTGGGTAGCAGCCCAGACTGCTGGGAAAATTACATTTTATTATATTGACTGCGATATGCAGTGTCAGATAGCAAGCTTATTACTAGCTTGAACAATTTTGATAAGGCTTGGGAGCAGTAGATTTAGCTGGCACCTCACCAACACAGTGCGGAGAACATTTACATCTGTACACTGTATGATTTACTGGGAATCTTATGGAAAGATACTGCTGCCTTGAATTTAATGACACTGAAGCACGTAATACATGTTGTGTTACATACATATGAAGTAAATGTATCCTTTGCTGTGTTTCAAATAGCACTTTATAGCATCATGAAAGATGCATAAATGTTCGGTATTAAAAATTTCAGTCAACACATATTCTATCCTTTTTAAGAAATACTTGCTCCACCTCTAGCACTTACTTGTATATATTACTTTATTTTTAAATGAGACGTATGTGTTAAATTCTTGACAAGAGATTTTTTTTTAATTACAGAGAATAAAACATATTTCAATGTCTATGCCACATTTACTAGAGCAATATTTTCAGCAGTCCTTTATTTATAGGCATGTTTAACTTATATTCAAACCTGACACAGAGTAGGAATAATTATTCCCCCTCTTGGGGTTTTTAACACCAGAATAAAAATAAAATTTTGTTCCTATCGCACAACATTGATATGTTAATATGGAATAGTGACGACAAATCAGGTCCTGATTCCATAAATAGTTAGGTGCATCATTACTTTGACAGCTGGCTGGAGGACACCCAGTCAAATATGTAGAGCTGCTTGTGACAATGAAGACAAAAGTCCTATGAGCATCTGCAGTTGGATGTTAATTTCCTCACTATAAAGAAAGGCTTCTAAGTGGTTTTCATTTTGGGCATTTTCATTTTGAGCTCAATGTCCTGCAAAGAGCATCCAAACCCCTTGGTGCAAAAGCTGTCCTTACTCTGTATGTAACTAGAGCTTGAATCAGCAAGGAGAGCTTCAGGAGAATTTCAGTCTGATTCAAGGAGAACTTCAGTGCAAAAAATGAATATAAAGAAATCACATCTACATGTGAGCAACTCTGTTAATTTTAAGAAAACTTAAAGGTTTAAAGATTATTTAAAAGGAACAGGGATTGTCCTAAAATTCAAAATTTGGTAGTTTCTTTCTATCTCTTTTCATGGAGTAAGCATCACAGGTATTTCATTCATCTTCATAAATCTAGGTGGTCCTGGAATGTTGACATTTGTTTCTGTTTTATTTCTTGAAAGAACAGTGCTCTCTGTAAGGAACATTTGAAATAGTGATGCCAAACATACTGTACTCCTCTCATGCATATTACATTTCTCTACAGGTTCCTTAACATTTATTAATTGTGTGAATGTGAAGTGGGGAACTCGCGTACAAGATGTTTTCACGTATGCGAAAGTTATGGCTCTTATCTTGGTGATAGCTGTTGGCCTTTACAAAATTGGTAAAGGTAAGAATATTTTTACTTTATGTGAATTCTTAAAAATGAACCATACATGAATTTCAGAATCCACGCAGGAAGATCAGACGCTATAAGACTTGTATACAAAGTATTATTTATTCAGAAAAAGTTGTCTGTCATAGGAAGATTAGAGGAATTTTATGGCTCAGTAAGCACCAGTGGTTTAATTATTCTTCTGTCCTTATTGTGGCAAACCAGCGCACACCAAGTCCTACACTGCAAGGCTGAGTAGCAGATAGCAGCTGAATTAACATCAGTTTGGTGTTAACCAGATTAAAGTTAGCCTCAGTGTCTCTGTCTCATGCTAGTGAAAATTAGTAGACTAGTGTTGCTCCTTCTTCTGGGGCACCGCAGCATAGCAGATATCAGAGGAAGAAGGAATTTGCTCTTTTCTTCAGCTACAGGAACGAGCCCCTGGTCTGTGGTAAGAGGGTGTGCTCATTCCTAGAAACAGGGGACAATGCTGTAATACTGCTCTCCTGTGAATCACTGTGGTATCATAAGGCATCACAGGATGGATGAGCCATCTTTTATGAGCAGTAACTGGGCTGAACTGTATTTACATAACAGCAAAATGATCGTTTATTCCAGTGCTACTTCTGATCTTTGCATATGACAACAGATTTGATTTTATTACTTTGGGCTCTGGTGCAGTGAAGTCTCTTCCAACTCTAGCTCTGTTGCTTAGTTACTAAGGTTTCTTTTTCATTTTCCTTTCCCATTAAATCCCTAAATAGCCATTGTGTCTTTATTCAGTTAAAATAGAGATGGTTTTCCCTCTTTGGTTTAGGAATTGTCTTTTTCTTCTGCAGAAACTAGCTTGTAAAACCTAACAAGAGTGTTTGTTTTCCTATATTTTCTGGCCTTCTCCTTTCCTTGGCTCTGGTTATTATACTGTAAAGCTACACCAGACTTTAAGGGAGGGTGTTGTTTTTTTTTTTTTGTTTTTGCTTTTGTTTGTTTCTTTAGCCATAGTGGTGCATGTCAGTTGTCATACATTTGTTCAAGCCTAAAGAAATCTGAATAAATGAATGCAGTCCTGAGGTTGGTTCCTTTACGTTGTTACCTGGGGTCAGGAGGGAAAAAGGCAGAGAGGAAGTCATCCTGCAAGGAGTGCAAAACGCTGAGGGCTTGAAATAGTGGTAAAGGTCTCATCTCTACTTTGCCTGAACAGAACCAAGCACTTAAATACAGCAAGGACTGGCAGGAGAAATGATCTAGACTTCTGGAGGAAGTTGTGACCGGGTCAATGCCCTCTTTTCAATGCCCTCTTATAAACTCAACAGCTGCTTCAGTCTGTGATGCTATGATTCAATGGAAAAACCAATTGTCAAATTTTAGCCTTGCTATACTCCTTCTGACGTGCCTCTTTTTTTCAGATATGCCTCTTTTTTTTTTTTTTTTTTTTTTAAACACTGTGAATGTATCTCATTTTGAGTAGGTTTGATAGTTAGAAAGCTTTTCTTGATCCTATTGGATTTTTCCTTTATTTGTTCCTTCCTGCCATTTTCTTCCGCCATGTTGCTGAAGCATGTTTGGATAGTGTAGGTTTGCCTTCCTTGATTCTTGCATTCTCCAGAGAAAAAGACTTCTATGAATGTGAAAAACTGCTATTTAGTGTTCTTCAACAATTGCATTGCTTTTGTGGTATCAGTATATTCCTTAGTTTAACCACATGGTGAAGTTGCTTCATTTTATAGGAAAGACCTTACTTTCTTCCCTAATAGAGGTTTCAGTGTATTTCTGTCTTCCTTAATACCTAAACCCACTTCCATTTATGTTAGATAGTTCGCTTTCCTCTGCAAATTCAGACAGGCCTTTCTTCCTCTTTTCAGCACTGCAGTGAAGATTCATGCAGTTTCATGAACATTTCTTCTATTTTGCAGCTTTATGCAGGTTGTTGTCTCATCTGATTGATCTAAACTAGAGGACAACTGTGAAAGAAAAGGTTTTCCTGTGTCTTAATTTTAGGGAACTGCTTTGTGGGAGAGAGCATCCTACTGAGAATGGTGTCCCAAGAAGTTCTCGCTCCACTGGTCACAATTCCTCTGGTGACAATAAAGGCATGGTTAGGAGAGGAGGAAATATGAGACAGATTCAGGAATTGAAATTGGGTTTCCAAACCTTTTCTCCCTGGCTGAGAGGGCATAATGCCACTTCAGCACATCACCCTCCTTGGGGTCGGTGCCAGGCAGGGGAAGCTGTGAGTTCTGGTAGAATTTCACAAGTGATGTCCTAATAACAAGCATGGGGAAACATGTTCTGCTGTCTCCCTGTTGCTGTCTGAATGTCTGTATGCCTCTCCTATCTGTCAAGTAAAAATGCAACTTTGAGGTATAGTAATGAAACCAGGATGGAATGGGTTTTATTTGGGGGGGCAGGTGAGACGTTTAGTGTAGTGTCTTTCTAGGTCCCAACCTTTGACGAGTAATAGGTAATTTGTATCTGCTCTTTGTACAGGAGAAACAGAAAACCTGAAAGCTCCCTTCGAAGGCTCAGCAACAGACCCGGGAATGATCGCACTGGCTCTGTACTCTGCCCTCTTTTCCTACTCGGGGTGGGACACCCTGAATTATGTCACCGAGGAAATGAAGAATCCTGAGAGGTAAATGCATGTTCTGCTTTCAGAGCACAGGAAAGTGTTCTGCTAAGGCAGGCAACGGTAGGACAAGCTCCTTTCTATTTGTTTCTGATGGAAGTTATTCCAACCATTTTCTCTACAAAAACTCTTATTTCCAAAAGTACTAGTAAGTGCAAGAACTCTTATGGATTATTAGAGAGATTTCTCACCAACTGTATCACATGAATAAATCATTTTCCTACATGTACGTATTTTACACCTTACGCTTTCAGGTAGAATTTTTAAAGCAGGAGGAGAATAAATTTCTGCTGAAAGCAGAGAAAAGTGTGGGTCCACCCAGCCTTCTAAAACCTCCCACTTCTCAGTCAGACAAAGCAATTACTTTATTTTCCAGGGCTGCTTTTGCCACTAATAGAGTAAGACTGTGTCAAGTTTATGACTGTTTTATCATGTGAAATACAGCTTAACTGTTTAATTTTGCTAAAGATGAAATGTTAACCAAGAAATGAAAAAAGTCCACAGTAGCACTGGAAATGCCATCTGCTCCTCTCTGTAGGGATGTCCACCCCACTGATATAGTCCACCTTCTTTTGGGACATACAAAGGTTATGAGTTAGGAAAAAATACTACGATCAATAAAACACCTAAGCATGTATATTAATCTCATTGCTTAAGTGCTCTCTTACACTGCTTTATATAAAATAAGTTTATAGTTTTCAGCTACAAATGCACAATTTTTCTCTAAAACTTGTGACAGACCCACAACCAGCCAACTAGGCTGCTTATGGAATTGTTTTACACATGGCTGCACTTTATTTTGTAACCTCGTGATTAAAAAATGTTGGATTGCACAAAAGTGATGGAGGTATACATTTAGAAATGTTTGAATTTGGGAACAATTTTTTATTGAAAAAATGTGGAATAATTTTGCCATTTTCCTTTTGCAGGAATTTACCACTTTCTATTGCAATTTCCATGCCTATTGTGACTATTATCTACTTGATGACTAATATAGCATACTATGTAGTGCTGGACATGTCAGCTCTCCTCACAAGTGATGCAGTGGCTGTCGTAAGTTAAATAAAATGATAAAAACAAAAGTTACTGTATGTAAGTAAGCTCCATACTTTTCCCCTGTGGAAAAATCTCAGGTAGCATACTTATTAGCAAAACAATTGAAGTATTTCCACGTTGATGATTTTGGCTTTGTTTTAATTTGTATGTGTGTATGTATAGGAGTCCTGGTATATTAGAAGTTGCATATAAGGTTCATATCCAGTAAATCTGCTCTTTTAAAATACTCTTTTATACTTTGTACATCCTGCACATAACAATATTCACTATAAAAGATGTTTTTACTAAAGCCAAGCAGAATTTGGGTGTGGGTTTTTTTGTTTGTTTGTTTGCTTGTTTGGTTGTGTTTTTTTTGCTGTCATTCTAATGTACTGTAGGACTGCAGCAATATTTTCAACACAAAAATATGCAGTGAAATGCTTTTTTAAAAAAACTTCTCAATATTTTATACAAAAGTGCAATTATAAATCATGGAATAATGAAACCAAGATTTGTCAGATTACATTGTAATCAATACATCTTCATCCATTAAGTTGCTCTCAGCTTGATTTTTCCAAAATCCTTTTTTAATTTATCTGTCATTTTCATTTTTATATTGATCATTTTATCCAATTTCTAATTTTCCAAGCCATTGCCAGTGTTAGAGAAAAGCAATGGCTGTGACACTATATTTAGGCTGCTGTGTTCTCATAAGAGCTTCGCAGGATTGTCCATATGTTTAATGTAATGGGCCTCACTATTGTTTTCTTTTTCCATTGCAGACGTTTGGCAGTGAAACCCTTAGTTATGCTAAGTGGATAATTCCTATAGCTGTGGCCATGTCCTGCTACAGTGGGTTAAACTCTTCAATAATTGCAGCATCTAGGTATGAAATATAAGATATATTTAAAATAATTGAAATTGAATCATTTGCTATTAATCTGAATTATTTACATTGTAAAAGTGACATTTTTTGCCATGGTGAATTGTTCATTTATGCTGTAGGAATTGTTATGATCTGGCATGTTATCGCATGCCAGCAGTTGGTGATCAGCACCAGCTGATAAACTAAAGGCAGAGGAGAAAAAAGCAGCATTTACAATAGAGTAAAAAAAATAGTGTTGTCTTTGTCAAAAAGCAATAAGATATTCCTCAGCTAACTGTCTGGGTTTTGTGTGCGTGTGTTTGTGTTTGTTTTTGGTGGTGGTTTTGGTTTTGTCTTTTTTTAGGCTTTTTTACGTTGGAGCCAGAGAAGGACACCTCCCGGACAGTCTGAGCTTGATTCACATAAAGTGTTTCACACCAGTCCCTGCTCTTCTCTTTAATGTAAGTGAAAGCCTGGCCCAGTGCCTGGTGTGGTTTGTTGGGGATGCAGCACTGGGGATGGAGCCCTGGGAACTGCTCCACATCCTCCCTGCCTTCTCTTGAGGTGGGTGGGGAGTTCTTCCTCAACTGGTCAGGATTTCTAAAATTCATTGAGGGTAGAGGTAGGGAGGTGTTATTCTTTTCTGGTGGGTTTTCTTCAGTGGAAAGAGAATTGCCTGTTTCACATTTATGTGCACTCTGTGCAAGTAATCAGAATTAACAACAGAAGCACTACTAAAAGATTGGCTAACTTTGTAACACGTAGATAGGAATTAAATCTTTATGTGAGTCTTCGGAGTGTCCACGGGAGAAGAAAATTATAGAAAGATCTCTCAGACCCTGCTATAGGCTGATTTTCTAGGGCTGTAGAAACACTTGGGCTAAAGCATTTCAATTTAAATTCCTATTGTTGGATGCCTATACCCGTATTTACATTTTCCAGCTCTCACAATACAAATAAATGTCAGGACAAAAAAGTGAGGGAGTGTAGCCCACAGAATTAGTGCAAATGATTTTAATAAATAATCCCTAAATCTATTAGGGATTATAGATTAAAATGGGGGGGATGGGGAGGATGCTTGTGCATACAAGCAGAGAAAGTGAAATCATTCAAGAGTGTTTTATTGCTTTTTATTTGAACGTGTATTTTATTTGGTATCTCCCCTTACCCTGTGTTACATACAGCATCATACAGGTCCTGTTTGACACCAGATAATTTATTAATAGTTATTGTCTCGTTATGGATACTCTTCTTGGACAAATTCTATTTGCACTAGTGTGATGAGTTGTGTGTACTCCCTTAGTACACCACCATTCCCCTTTTTCCCAGTGGATTTTTTTTTTCTGTGCATCAGAAGAAGACTGTATACTTCTGTTCCTTGTGTTTGTAAAAGTGGGCATTGAATTTCTACTATTTTAGGTTTCATTTTATCCTTGCCATGCAGAGTATATAGCATACCTGCATACCACAGAATTTACTCTAACGGTTTCAATCTATGAGTGCATTGTGAGTGCCTCCAAAAGAGAAACTAAATTAAAAGCTAGTTTTCAAACTGAAGACAACCAGAAGAGCAAAGTAAGCTGTTGCCTACAGAAGGCTTCTTAACAATCCTCTCCAGCACCACACAGCTTGGTGTTATCGGGAATCTTTCTGAGGGTGCACTCAATCCCACTGTCCATGTGGCCGACAAAGACGCTAAACAGCTAAATGTGTTTGAAACAGGTCCTTTTACAACTTTACTACCTCTTTAGTATAGATGACATGTAGTTATTTTCCCATTAAGAAGTCTTTCTTTTTATTATCTCTAGGGCTTAATGACTTTGCTATATCTCCTCGTGGAAGATGTCTTCCTCCTCATTAACTACTACTGTTTCAACTACTGGCTCTTTGTGGGTCTGTCTATCGCAGGGCTAATATATCTGCGATATACTCAGCCACACAGGCCACGGCCTATTAAAGTAAGTAAATGAGAGGAAATAAACTGCAACAGCCAGCTAATGCACATGTTTATGTTACCCATACTACCAGAACCATAACATTACCAGTTATGTTATAGGCTATTTATTTCAGCCATAGAAATCGTGTTAGCAAAGAAGATAAGAAATAAAGGATCAAAACTTATCTGAGTTTGCACAAGAACATTTCTTCTGGTACTTTGTAAGGTTGAAATGATATTTTCAGTTTATCTTTTTTCTTTTCATGAAAATGTAATCTGACTTTTCAGTATAAATAGACTAAATAAATATTTGGGGTTCTTGGCCCATTCTTGATCCTTTAGGTTTTGTTCACAGGGAAACTCGATATGTGATGGGGGCTCCAGGGAAGTTCACACTCTGCTCAAACTTAGAAATTCATCAAGAATCCCTCCAAAGCCTATAAACAGCCCAAATTCTGCTCATGCAGAAGTTCAAAAGCTTGAATAAGTAGGCATTCAGTCCTCCTGCTGCATAGGTCATAGGCAGTGAGATGCTAGCTTAATAACTGCCTACAGAAGGGCATCTGGCTAACAGTTAGGAAAGGGAGCCAGCACTAAAATAAAACACACATACAGTTTGTTTCTAGTTTAATCCAGGAACCCAGGGAAGCAGGGATGGGCACCCAAAGCTTTCCCCAGGCACAAAAAGCTACATGCTGGCTCCTGTTTCACTGCACTCTCCTAGTTTCATGACCTGCATCTCAGCCCTGCAGCAATGCAGCAAAATTATGAAAAATCCAAATGAACATCACATCTTTTCAAGCCTTTCTAAATATTTTTTCCTTGTTACTCTGTCTTCCTAACCTCCCATGTTCTCTTTACCAGCACTTTTTTTTCTGTTTAAATGCAATATCCTGATTATGCAAAACATGGTTCAAACAAAGGAGTTAAGTATGATAAACACCTACTCCATTTTTAACTTTTATAAGGAAATATAAATATTTCTACCAGTAAACTCTCCAGATTTCAGCTAGTATTCAAATGCCATCTTGAGGCAGGCTTATTACTGCAGCCAGAGAAAAACATTCTAGTGAAAATTAATTCCATAAAGAAGTTATTGCAATTTCCCTTATTTGTGATATAATTGCTAAGTACCCCAGCAAAATGGTTGTAAATCAGCCATTAGGTTTAGTAGAATCAAAACGGTGACTGAAAGCCCAGCTGAGTTTCTTCTATTTCAAATTTACAACTAAAAATTTGTGATTGAATTTAGAGGGAAAATTACCCATTACTTTGTTATTAATTTTAAAATACTGCTTTCAAAGATTTGTCTCTTACTAATGTGGAAGGGAACTGTGCTGAAGGAAACAGGTCTGAAACCCCCCAAATGGTCAGATACACAGGCTTGTACCAAACAAGAAGCTCTCAGCAGCATGCACTAGCATAATTGTACTTATGTGACTGGAACCATTCAAAAGATATAGACAGCGCATAGTAGTCACATAGTCAGTATTTATATTTTATATTATTGACTTGTCTAATTTTAATCTGTAAAGCTTGACATTATGTTTTCCAGTAGAATATTTACTATTTCTTTTATTAAATGTTGATTTATTTATTTATTTTTGTTTCCACAGCTGAACCTCTTCTTCCCTATCATATACTGTTTATGTTCCCTTTTCCTGGTCATAGTTCCTCTCTACAGCGACACAATCAATTCCCTTATTGGCATTGGTATTGCCCTCTCAGGCATTCCTGCATATTATTTGGGAGTCCACCTGCCTTTTGAAAAAAGGCCTAGATGTCTGCAGTGGCTTTCTGGTAAGAGATACCATCTTGTCTTAGTCACTGTGCCAGAATCCTGAATTCTTGATCAAAAGAAAGAACAATTTTTCCTAAATTCTTTTTTTCCCTATGAAGTTTTGCTACGCTGTGCACAGCTTGTCTGAGATCATTTGCTTCTTCACATGGCCCTGAAAACAAAGCTATGCATAATTGCACAAACCAGTCCAATATGTGGATGGAATATGGTCATTGGTGGTGTTGAGCCATTTCAAAATGTTGGCTCAATAACAGTCCTGTAGGATTGTGAAGAATAAACACATACAGTTTGATATCTTGGAAGGCAGAAATACCAGGACGCCATTGTTTCACTTCCTCCTCAAGGAGTGGAATATCTGAGTCAGAAGAGTCCATACATTTTCCTAAATTATGAAATAATGATTATTGGCCTGAAGGCTAGATTCCACCCCTCAAGTTCAGTCGATCTTGAAAAGCAAAACTTTAATATCTATATTCATTTTAAACTCAGATGTCAATCTTACCGTCTGATGGAAATATTGGTCCAAATATGAGAGACTTCATGTATAATTTTTTTTTTTGCATTAATCTATTCATTACATATGTTTAATACAATTCATTATTTTTTTAAGATTTTCCTAATATCTGCGTAGTCTTTCCAATACTTCAAAACTGACATATATGTCTAAGATATTATAACTTTGTCTCAGCTACACATTTTTTGTTCTCTGTTACAGTTAAAACAACAAAATGCGTTCAACTGCTCTTTCTCTGTGCACTGTCAGACCTGGACATAGACATGGAACCTACAGAAGCCAAGAGCAAATAGAGCTGCACCTTGACATTGAGAGTTGAACCTTGACACGTCATATCTGGAGCATTTTTTATAACCTGAAGTCCTCCCTGTATCCTCAGTTAAACTAAAGCTCTAACAATTGTCCTATGCATCAGTTTGATGTCTACAAATTTGTTCTTGTTTTATAAACCACTCGTCATCCTCTGTTTTACAATTTATAACAAAAAACATCTGTTAACAGTTATTGAGTAACATTTTGAAACTATAAAGCACCTTATGAACAAATATTTATCAGTAGATAAGTGCTAAGTATTAGATAATTGCAAAAGTGAAATGAAAACTATTAAGTCCCATCAGAATCCTAACAAATAAATTGACAAATTTAACAAAAATCAAACCAAATACTTGCAAGATTCAAAACCTGAGTTGGGAAGTAGAAACCATAATGCACTTCTAATAATATTATTAAATTCTTGGCCAAAATAAAAAACATATAGTTAATACCGATAGACATGCTTTGAATCATTGTAGAATTAGCAGTTAGACTATTCTAATGTATAATTCCCAGCGTACATATGGTACCAAATGGAAAAAATGAAAGTTTTCAGTCATTTAAGTTTTGTGAGAAAATTTCCTTTGGTGGTATCCCACATTCATTACCCTTTTGCAGAATCAGTATTTTCAATGCTAAAGTATATTTGGGGAAAACACATTCCCATAGTGTCCACTGCTTGCCTAGAAGTATCAAGTGTGGCCCCATAAACCACATCAATTTTTTGCACAGTAGAACTTATTTAAGGAATTCATAAGGTGAAATTAAAAACAACTGATATTTAGAAAATCCCTTGAGCCACTGCCCAACCCTGCAGGCTGATCTATCAGAGTCACAGAATTGTTGATGTTGGCCTCTGGAAGTCTCCTGGTCCATCCCTCTGCTCAAGCAGGGCCACCAAACACAGGTTGCCCAGGACTGGCCTCAGCAGTTCCTGCTGGCACAGCAACCTGCAGCTCTGCTCTTCAGCATACAGAGAGCCTCCTGCACCTGCTACCAGCTCTCCACATCGTTCAGATGCCCATCGCACAGCTGGACAATGGCACCCACCAGCAAATGTCATGAAATAAAAGGACAGTGAAGAACTACATTCAATCTCTTGAACATTTTTCAGTTTGGCACACAGAATATGAAACCAGTCCTAATTAGCTGCCCGAAATGGAAGATGAAATAACTGTCATGAGAAAGAAAAGAAACAATCAACTTTGCCACCTAGGCTAAAAAAATTGATGGTCCGTTTCTAGTCTGCTTTGCTGATATTTAACACCATTTGTTATGCTTGTTGGCAAGTCATACTTCTTCTGTAATTATATTTGAATGTAACATATATTGTTTATAATTTGAATTTTTACCATTCCTATTCAATTAATCCCAAGTAAGGTACTTTTTTAAATCTTATACAAATCCCTGTAGCTTCTAGCATTATTGTCTTTTATTTATGTCAGCCCTGAGAAAGACGGATGGAATATGGAAGAAGGCAATTGTTGCTTCTGAAACCTCTCTTCATTCCTTCCATATGATGTTAAGGTTGTTTGCCAGATGATAATTCCACGCATCTCCAGCCCTGTGCTTGCTGACAGGTCTCCTGTGAAACCTTCTATTTGTGTTTCTATGCCATCCATTATGGCAGTTGCGGTGGGACTTTCTTTTGATTCAGAGTACAAATGATAAAAATGCACTAAACCAAGGTAAACATGAAGCTATCAGAGCTGCATGTTTTGCTTTTTCGAAGCTATGACTTTCATGCACTAAAATCACTTTAGTATCACAGTCACAAAACATTAAGAGGGAAAGGGTGTGATTTAGCTTGCCCAGCTCAGAACACTCCCACTTACACGTACACAAGCGCCTCTGTTACAGTATAGCACTATGTTGATCCTGCTGTACAGTTTTACAGAAATACTGCATTCTCACCTCATTTTTTAAAGGCATTGGGTGAATAATGGAATCAAGGTCTCAGATTTTATCAGAGCACACAGAGAGTACAAACCCTAGAAGTCAGTACCAAACAAAATCTGACAATCTGTCTCCCCAGAGTTCAAAGCTGTGCTTAGTGCTGAGCTATGTGTCATACCAGGACAGCACTGCACCATCCTCTGAAGTTATTCATAACAGGACCAAAGCTACCAAATGATTTGAGACAAATGAGGTGATGTCTCAGGTGGTAACAGATAGCAGGTACCAAAGGTAGTCTATGAACTAAGTCTATAAAGTCTATGAACTAAGACCATTTCCATTGAGAATTCTAAGCTGATAAACTTTTTTTTTTTTTTTCCAAAATCTGTTTTTGCATGAATCCATGAATCTGTTAACTTTCTGGGCATAACACACAAGCCTCCATTTTCTTTCTTTCAGGACAGGAGACATATTAAGAATATCAGTAGTCAGATGCAAAGCTATAAATGTGAATAATGTTATTGAAATTATGTATGGACATTGGAATCTCAAAAATGTTCATGTGTTTGTTGATTTTTCACTCCTTACAAATAATATATGTAAGTTATTTTCAAATATCTAAAGCCAAGTCCTAGATGCTGAAGTATTTAAATAAATCAACATTTGATCCTTGGCAAATGCAATAGTTGTGTGGTTTTAAAGCATAAAAATAGTATTACAAGTGAAACTTGTCCTACCTTATCTCTTATAAGTTGGCTTATTAGGAAAACAATGAAACTCCAGTTCTTTTTTTCCCCTCAGTCCCCAGTGTGTACCAGGGATGCCCCATGCTGGATTCTGCACCTGGGACGGGGCAACCTTGGCTGTACATACAGACTGTGGTATGAGAGGCTGGGGGGCAGCCCTGTGGAAAGGGATCTTAGGGTTCTGTTTGACAGCAAGTTGAATTTGAATTAAGTGTGCCCTGGCAGCCAGGACCCTGCCCTGGGGTGCCTCAGGCCCAGCACCAGCAGCCGGTTGAGGGAAGGGATTGTCCTGCTCTGCTCTGCACTGTGCGGCCTCACCTCGGGCGCTGTGTGCAGTTTCGGTGCCACAGTATCAGAAGGACATAAAACTACCATGGAGTGTCTGAAGAAGGGCTGCAAAGACGATGAAGGGTCTAGAGGGGAAGGCATATGAGGACCAGCTGAGGTCCCTTAGTTTGTTCAGCCCAGAGCAGAGGAGACTGAGGGGAGGCCTCATGGTGGCCTGCAGCTCAAAAGCTCTAAAAATAAAAAAGAAAGTTGACTGAGGGAATAAACAAAATAAAGTGCAAAAGTAAACAAGATGCCAAATAGTGTATTTGTCTTGTATATTGGGAGCCTAGAAGTGCTTGTTCAGAAGCACATACTTCATGTAATGGATGTCACTGAAAAACACAAAAGTTGAGTGGGCTACTAAATATCTGGTTATTAGCTACCTACACAGGTCAGTATTATAGTCAAAGTAAATGCATGGAATTTGTTTTACGTGGCCATGGTTTTGAAACAAGAGAGGTTAACATTAAAGCAAATGATCATGAATTGATCCTCTCCTAACAGAAAGAATACATAGAAATTAGCTGTTTCATGCTACAATTGGATAAAAACACAGTAGAAATGACTCGGCATTTAAGGGGTGGTCACCGAAAATGCGCTGTGTGTCAACTGAATATACTTCAGCATATAAACAGAACAAAGATTAATTCAGCAATGTAATTAATTAGTGCTCAAAAATGCTCATTTCACAGAGCTAAAAACAACTGTGAGCCACCCCTGCTGGACACAAGGCAGAGTTTAAATTGGGGAAAAAAAAAAAAAAAAAAAGTTGTTTAAAAACACTACCGACATACAGAAACCAGAATGAAGAAAGGAATATTCACTGGTTTAAGGTTGTAATAAATCCTTCATCTTTACAGTGGAAGTGCAAAGAGCTGTTTATAAATAGAAGAAAGGCAAATTTTCTGGTAATGACCATAAGTTCAAAGATAAGCTGCTGAACAAAATGCCTGACCTGTTTAGATATGCTTTTACTGTAATGCAAGAGAAAAAGTTCAGAACCTGGATGTAATGTTGCAGTATGAACTTGAATCAAAGCATCCTTGTTAGGATGATGATACCTTTTTTTTTTTTTTTTTCTGCTCTTGCCCCTACCGTACCATCATAAAAAGGAAAGCTACAAAGAAATTCATCCCCCTTTTGCTGTCTTAGGAGCTAGGTTCATTCTGGTTCAACGTGTGTGTGGTCTCTTAAGCAGAATGTAAAATTTCCCGTGGTGTTACATTTTCCTCCACAAGAGGGAGATGTCCTTTGCTTGATGCGCTCACGAAAAGGAGACCGAACATGATTTTGAGACATGTTCAGAGCAGCAGAATCAGAGCGGTGTGTGTATTCGTGCTCACAGCAACAGTCCTAAGAGGGACAGGCTTAGCTCCAGTGAAGAATGTCAGCCACACATTCTGAGTGATGCTCTATAACAGCCTGCTGCAAATTTAGATGAAGACAAGGTTAAAGTTCAAACATTCCCATCTCCTTATAGGGTGCCTTTGTGCTTGAATTAGAAGAAAGATTTTTTTCTAATACTATTTCCAGTATATAATACCATGTATAAATACCTAATTCAAAAGAATGATGAACACCGCTTTTGGAACTTCCACATTAAATATAATAAAGCTAATAATAGCTAATAAATTAACTCTTTTGTGGAAATGAAAAACATTGATCTGTTTGAACATTGGAGCCATTATCTGACATCAGAGTTCCCCTTTTTCGTTTTCTTTTTTCTTTTTTTTTTCTTTTTCTCAAATAAAACCTGGGAAATCTCCTAGTCTCTCTACTGTTTGGTAGTAAAGACCTATTTAAAAAGACATTCTTCAGAAAATACAGCACTTAGTTCAAATCAGTTGTCTGCAGACTTCTGCCAAAGTGATATCAGTACACAGTAAAAAAAAAAAAAAAAAAAAAAAAAAAAAAAAAAAAAAAAAAAAAAAAGCCTTAAATCAGCTAAGGCTTTTGTTCTACATATATAAATAAATATATATATATGATTTTCCCATATCATAGTTAGATTAAATTTTGCTCTAACTACCTTCTAGAGTAATTCCGTAGCTCTACCCACTTAGTGAAATATCAAGCTAACCTTGCCTTTCACCTGAGCTGCTGACAAGTTTATCATATCCACCTGCTGCCAGTAGTTCTGTCATTACATTAAGGTGCTCTGAATTAGCTCCTGCCAGTAATGGTTACAAGAGTATACACAGAAGGGGCAAGAACTGCAAGCAGTTCCTAGCAAAAGGTAGCAAGTGGAGAAGGGTGTGGGTGGTTCATGTTCCTTTCTTCACTGTGCTTATTTTCCTCTCAGGCAGAGCAGCTGTATTAGCTGTAGTTTTGCTACAAATCTGGATGGTAGAGATGCCTACTGGCCTATTGACCTCACTCCGTATGTCTCAGCTATTCTTTCCCAGAAATGAGTAAGTAGTAGCAGACTTGACAGTCTTCCCACTTTCCATTCATGCCCTCGTTTGTCAGCTGTGTGGTTTCTGAACCCTGTCAGGTTGCTTGCTAGGCTTGGCTAACCGCATCGTAGCACTTGTGTTAGTTATGACAGAGTCATCTTACACCTTTCACTGCACAAACTTTGCCTCTTCCTTCTTCTGTGGGACCCACATTCAGGCATGGACTCACACTGATCTAAGGAGGAAAGTTACTGGTGCTGCAGCAATTCTAGCTGACCCAAAATATACATGGAAAATATCCTATAACTTACCTCATGGCTGAAGGTGAGAATGAATAGAGCAACAAGTCAAGAATTTGTTCTTGTTCCAGGTAAGAACCTGGACAACAAGCTTTCAGAGCGCAGAGTCTGACCAGCCTTAGATGTTGCTGTAAACTTCCTTTTTCTGGCAGCTCAGGAGCAGCAGAGAATGAGAAGTGGGGAGATTAAATCTCTCTGGATTTATAAGAATTAGAATATTAATTCTGTTCAGCAGTCAGCAATTATTTTCCTCCACAATAAGATCCTACACTAAGAAAATCAACTGAGTACCTTGAACAAACAAGGCATAGGTTTATTCCCCCAACAGACAGAATGCTAGAAACCAGTTAAGACTAAACTGCCCAAGAGAGCTTCAGGGAATCATAAGGAGAAACGTGACTGAGATTTATCCCCTCTCCTTTGTTAGACAAACTTTTGCTCCTACAATTTATCAAGGCAACATAAGTAAACATTTTGACTTTGAATGCAGAAAACATTTACTTTTACAAATGGCTTCACAAGTAATCTAGCTGCTGCCTGTGGGACTAGTCGTGGAATAAATGGCTGCCAAAACAGGTTTAAACTGTGGGAATGTGGGACAAAGAAGAGGATCTAGGAAACAATTTATTTTGGCTTTACTTAAGGCATTTCAGAAGCTGACTACATGAAGTATCTGGTTTAGTAAGAAATATGCTGCCATACTGTTGGATGCAACCTGCAAAGAAACGCAGCATGGAGATTGTTAAAACTCATGCCAGCTTTACTGGAACTATTCCAGCCTTGTTCAGACAAACATACTCTCACAGTAACACTATTTTAGCTTAGGAGTGAGCAGTGTTAACTGATTTTTATATATCAATATAGCAAGAATTAGTCTGACCATTTCACAGTGGTTAAAAACTATTACAGTCAATGGAAATTTGTAATTAACATTTTTTTATTTTTTTTTAATGACCAGAAAAAACGCATTTTTCCTAAGCCTTTCTCTTTTTATTATCTTTCTTTCCAATGGTCAGTAATGAAAGGAGTAAAAGCAGAAAATACTACGGAATCAAGAGTCAAGTTAGGATGTAACTAAAAACATGGAACAGTTTAAAGCTAGAAATAAACAGATTTTAATAATCACATTAATTATGAAAGTCAGAGAGGAAAGTCAGAGTGCAGCTGTGATCACCCTGCAGTTTCCAGGTCTGGCTAATGGCCACTTCTGGCCCTATCTTCTCATCACTGCCCTTCACCTCCTTCATTAAAGTCCTTCCAAATCTCACAATAGAAGCGCACAGAGAGCCAACAGTAAAGGAGCTGATGTGGAACCAGGGAAAAAATCAGCACTGGTGTGCAAGGACAATACCAACCTTTCTGCAGCAGCCATACTAGCAGAAAACATACAAAGATTTAAGGAAGTTGTAGTTTTTGTTTTTCATTTTTTCCCTTCATACACCAACGGTTTATTTATTTTTTTCAATTTCTTTTCTTTGTTATTTTTTCCTAATCTTTCTTTTTTACCTTTTCACTACCACAGTTAGACTCATTTGAGAGTTAATATACTTTACACAACTTTAAGGACAGCAATTTATTTTCATTGCCTCCTTCTTCCCCTCCTCCCCCTCACAATTGTTGTAATGACTTGCCCTAATTAAGTTTGAACAAATCCTTCATTATGTTCCTAGATTTTGTGTGGTGTGATCACTTAACCTGCAAATTATAATTGCAGGTTTGGTGCCCATGCAGACTGTTCATTATAATTGGTACCTACTAACTCCCTTTTAGTTTTTATTATAGCCTTACAATCAAGGAAGCTCAGACACTTCCATTTTAAGAATAAACAGGATACACTCTTAAAAGAAGAACCAAGTTTTCCTTCAAATTTCTTCTTCATATTGCTTTCATATGCTGTCTTTACCTTT